TTGGTAAAAATATAGGCTAATTATTAAAGCTATCAAAGCTATTTTACCACTAAATAAAGACCTCCACCAATACCATCCAAAAATCGAAAAAATTTAATTTCAAAACTTCATACGAAAACACAGAATAAGACTTAACATAGATATAAGAGGTCTGCAGAGCCGGCCTCAGCCTGTAAATTTTGTCTACCCTGTTAAAAAATCAAGAAAACCACCATGGTTTGTTAATTCTTCTTGTACGAATGTTCCGGACAGCACATTTTCAAAATCGATATTTAATTTTTTTTTCCCCCCAGTGTCAATTAAGGCTATATATCATGGCTAATCTATTTCTATAACAACCGTTTTATAAATTAATTGTGTTTGATATTGGATCATTTTAGATAGACCGCTCTTAAAATACGAAGAAATAATTTATCTTCAAATGATATTAATCAAAATTTTAGCTTAAAATTCAATTAAAAAATCAAAAAAAGAAATTAATAGCCTTTGCTGGACCATTAAATTAAAATCTTGCGAAAAATTAATGATGTCTACTATCTCAATTTAGTCGCTTCATAAAAACGTTCTATTATCCAGATTTTACCGCCAAAAATATGTTATCTAAGCCTCGATATTTGGCGGTATTCTTTTCAACCAATATCGAGACTTAGGGAATAAATTTTGGCTTTTATATTGATTTAGAGATTTTATATAAGAAAGCGCCCAAAATAATCTTCGATAAAAAAAAAATATTTATAAAATATATCTAACTTCATTGCTGGTTTGGGAGGTCATGTAATCCAAATTATTCCTCACGTGGAAGATGGAAATGATAGATTTTTTGAAATTCCTAATCCATTCTGACTCCGAGGGTTCAGTGAAGATGTTTACGAAGAAGTTATAATCGAATTTGTAATAGACGTCATGCCTATTATGAATGCCATTTTTATTTTTTTTAGTAAAATGGTTTTAAATTATGCAAGCCTTGTGATTCAAGAATGATATTTAATTTTTTTTTTAAAAAGTTATTTTTATATCTCAGCTCCTAACTCAAAAATATTATAGCATACAGATTTCATTCAAATTTTATTTTAAAGATCAATGATTGGGCTACACATTGATATTAAATTTGTCGGATATATTACTTTTAAATGTTTACTAATTACTACTAATCCTGTTTGATGATTAAATTTTCTGATACATCTTACAAAGAAATTTATACCCGGTTATAATTTTATTTTTATCGATATTAAAATATTTTGCCAATTTAGGAAAAAGAAATTCCATATCATCCAGGGAAATTACTTTGTCGATATGATCTTTACCAAAATTATCTTCCATATCACTCTCTATTATCGACATTTTAAAATTTTAATTATCTTAGAAAATTGAGTTATAATGCACATTAAAATATAAATTTCAAATTCAATTTCAAAATTAAATTAAAAATTATGATTTTAGAGTTAATTATAAAATTATAAATATATTTTGATAATCTTTACATGTATTTATTATATAAATAAATTAGAAGCGAGCGCCATCTTTAAAAAAATTTACCGCGGCAAAACTACCACTATTGAAAAAAGTAACGCGATTTAGTAACGCGTTACTTAAACGATGTTGGTAAATATTAGAAAACAAATACGTGTCATATCATCGATCAAAAAACAATAGAAGTATGAGAAAATTATTTTTTAAAAAGTTATTCGATTAATTTTTCGGGTTCTCATATTCCGGTTATTCGGAGTGTTTTGAAACACAGGGAATGGAATGGATATTAAAATTCGGCAGCTCAAATTATGTTATCTTGAATTTTCTTTGACTCGGTTTTAACTGGATTAACTCTAATAAAAATGGGTAAAACGTGTTAAATCTTACATGGATATCTGGTCCAACATTTCCCAATTAGAGAAAGGGTAGTACTGACTCGATTTTTCGAATTGGTTGGCTAATTGAAATATCTCACAGTTTTCTAACTTTATAAAATAATACATTTACACATTTTGGGAGCTGAATTTTTGTAACTCGTTCAAAAATGTATCTATTTTTTTTAAACTTTATTTTTTTTTTTGGGGGGGGGGGGATATTTTATTTAGCTTTAAATCCTCACGACAAATTTTATGTAGCGGGTGCTTTAGCGAAATTCATGCAACACAAATACACTTTAGATATAGGTGCTTTATATTATAATCAGACACCTGCCGGCCCGGACTGGGTACACGGGTCGGATAGTATTTTAATTCTTTTAAATATACCCGGGCAGGGCCATATATTTTAAAACCAAATTTTCAATCCGCCATTGGTATCTATAAAAATTAATATAATATATTTTAAAAAAAATCCGAACCGGGCTTGAAAATATAAAAGCCGGGCCGGGCCATGCAAATGGTATCTCTATGCAGGTCTCTGATTACAATAATTATAATATAATAATCTTATCAAAATATTTTTAGAGAAGGAAGTAAAAGTAAGATTAATATTTTTTTTTAATCCTTAGATAAGAGATTAAAAGCATAAATATTGTAATAAAGTAAAGAGATTATAGATTGCTTATAAATAGATGGGGGAGGGGGGGGTGTCGTTCCAATTCAGGCAAAAATTTTTTTTCACCCACCCTTTTCCTAACCAGAACACCGATATGAGTGACTAGGGTAATTTTATCAAAATAAAGTAGGTATTAATTAATAAATGTTTTGATAAAAGATAAAGATATACACTCATTCGATTGATGCAATTAGGATATGCGTCAATCACAATGACGCAACGTCCAGTGATAGTTACATTCGCGGGAGACTGAACAGGGTGCGCTATGAATTCTGTCGCTATTTCGAAATTGTGGTCGTAGATGTATCGGTAACCAGGGACAAAAAATCCTCCTAAATCATAAATAAAGGTCACGTGATAGTCTATGATTCCCTCGAAAATATAGGAAAAAAAATGTATTTTTTTTTGGTATAGTACTTTGAGAGCATGGTTCTTCGTCGTAACTGTCAACAATCCCTAATAAAATTAAAATTTAATAATTCGTTACTATCAGCTGATTTGTGGACGTTCCTCTTATTTGTTAAGAAAACTTAAAATTCGAAATATATTCTTGCGCAATAATTCATCATGTTAGCAAGCTTTATATGAACGATGTTATAAGGGTTCAATTTAGGAATTAATAATAAGAAGAAATAAAAGTATCCTAAAAAGATGTCTTAAGAAAAAGGTAGAAATCTGAATAAAACTACATATTCAAAAAATATATCTGATGGAATTCAAAAATTATAAATTGAAATCAAATAAATGAAATTTACATATATAAATGTATATGTTATCAATGTATTTTTTCCGAATGTGTTATTATGTTTCAACTTTAAATCATCTTTTAAGCACGTGATTTTACTTCCTATCTTATAAATTACAGTGCTAACTTTTGAGGCATTAATAATTTATATAAAAAAATCTATAGGAAAACTAATATAACTAATAATAAGTTCAAAGTTTCATGGCAAAATAATCTGAAATTCATGGGATAGGATTTCCAAACATGATGAACTACATTTTCGGTAATATCAAATGTATAAATTTAAAAAAAACGATTTAAGGTTGAAAAAATAACACATTGCCCCTCTAGCATATATATTTAATTATAGGAATTTTTTTGAAAAAACTAGTGCGATTTTCTATATTTAAATAGAATAGATAAAAAAAAAATTGACTACAGAATATTTTTTTAAAAAATATTCTTGACTCCAGGACAGTCCTAAAGAATTATATTAAAAATCAATATAAATCCAATCTTTCATAATTTCTTTTAGAACAAAAATTAAGACATAATAAATATGTTCAATTTATATAAGATTCTGTAAAATGGCTTCTGATACTAAATTACGAATAAAATATATTTAAGGAACATTACCGAAACGCAAGGCAATTAGAATATAGGCCCAAGCAAGGGTTGCGAGAACTCGTTGATATCGCATCGTAAGAATTTAATAAATTATCTTTATATCATCTTCGATATATTATAAAAGAACTTACTTTTTTTTTTAAAAAACGAAAATATTATGGTAGAAAATTTTTCTTACAATACGTTATGGAGATATTTTTAAATTTTTAATCATATGTTCATTAAATTTCCCGTCTTAAAAATAATCTGTAAATTAACATTAAACTATTGCAAATTTATTTCTTTTTTAGAAATTATATTTCTAAACGAGATTAAAATACGGAAACTATTAACTATTTTAAATGGGAGGGAAAAAAAAAGAGAATGATTTTTTAATCTAAAATTTTTAGTAACGCACATACCTGTAATGGTAAACAATTTTTTTTAAAATTTCAATATTGTTAGGCTCGATTTGAGTCGATTTTTAAAAATAGCTAACTCAATATTTTAACCAGAAAAATGTTGTCTAAGCCTCGAGATTTTGTTAATAGATATTCAAACCTTTGTGATGACCAAAATATTAAGGCTTGTATAATAATTTTCCTAAAAAAATATTTAGTAAGCCGTTTTTTTTACAATACTAATTGTGCGGTCATTTGTTTTAAGAATGGTAAATAAATTTCCCCTACTACGTTATTTGTTTCTCTTTCGTTCACTCCTGCCTGGTGTCATCTCTAGCTTTGATATTGGCACGCGTCATTCATATCCTCTTTCACCCTGTCCATCCATTTTTTACAGGTCCGTCCACTTTATTAATTTTTTTTTATCTATGATCAACTCCCTTTTCCACGTGCGTGCTTAAAATGGACACTTGTGAGGATAATTCCACGTCCTATCTAACTCAGATCGGTCAGTTTCTTGGACTCGACTGGGCCAGGCGTTCGGAAACAAAATTTGGAGTGTTTATTTCCAAATAATAATTGTTCGGATTTGAACCAACAGGAAAAAGGTCAAGTCAAATAGGCAGGAAAATTTATTATTCAAATCACTGGAATACCGAAAGTGAAAAAAATTGGTCAGGTGGTCGGGTACAAGTTGCAAGCACATTAAATTAATTTATTTTTATTGTAAGAAAAATACTTCGAGATAAAACAAATATATCAATTTTTATTACAAATGCTATTATTTTTCTCCGTTTTATTTGTGATAATTTCTATATAATTGTATGATTATAATTTAAAAAATAATAAAAAAAATGATTATAATTTTGTTCGAATCCCAAATCTGGTGATAAAATCATAATCGTTTCAGATAATCTATCATATAGCATGTTCAATCGGACATAATGCATCCCTACCAAATTGCCCATCTTTATTAGTATTTCGATATCCTTGGCATACTTGAATCCAGCATCTTCCTAAAGATTTATTCTGTTCATTATTTTAGGAAATATAATATTTGAGTCATAACATAAAAAAATATATTTAAAGAGTTACAAATTAATTATTTGACCGAATAATGTATTCCGGCACATGTCGGGTACATATACAGTGAATTTCAGATAGGGGTGTTAAAAAATTCAGATATAAAAAACGGAGAAAAAAGCTTACAAAAAAAGCTAAATTTTTTTTAAAGAAAGTTAAAAGTGGTTTTTTATAATTTTATTTTGGCTAAAAATCTTAATTAGGTTGTTTTTAAAAATCGTCTCAAATCAGCTTTTCTAACAATTCTAGTTAGAAGCATATAAAAATCAAGGTTAAATAGAAGGTAATTTTTTTAAGATAAAATCAATTAAGATGAACAATATGTAATGATTGTGATAATGAAAAATTTCCGACTAAATATTGGTAGATTAAAAAAAAGGAAGAAAAAAAACAAATTTGAATCTTATCTTTAATTTCAGGCTTTTTTTCCATAAACTAACCAAGGATCAGGAAACCAGTAATATTAGCAAAAACCTGAACTGAACCCCTAAAAAGGGCGAATCTTTTGTTATCCTAACTGTTTTAAAAATATTGCTATTTGGCAGTTCTAACTGCCCAAGTTAGCATATAGAAATTTCTTCAACTATAGAATTTAATTTATTCTTTTTATAGGTATTTTCAAATGCCAGGAATATATTTTCAGTCAAATCAGATTTTTAAAAATTTCTCTCAATAAATTATTTAAAATGGAGATTCCAAATCTCAATATAAATATATTTCAAAGGTGGGGTTTTTGGCAAAAATTAAGTATTTTAAAGTATATATTTTTCAAAAATAAAATAACTCGGGACAGGAAGAGGATATGTTGAAAAATTATTTTTTTTATAAAGCAAATTGCATCAAATATGCTTGCACCTGACATTTTTTCAAACATTTTTGCTAGTTATGGGAAAAACAAACTTGAGCCTAACCTGAAGGTCTGATTCATATGTAGACAACAAGTGGAAATTCACAAAGAATGTGGTAAGTTATATTAATTATCTCTGTTATACATCTTATTCAAAATATGAAAGATATGGTTGTACTTGTACAATTTTTGTATGACAAGTAAATTAGATTTTTGTTCCAAGGTATACCTTATAAAAATAGTGTATATAAAAGCAAAATCAAGATATATAATAAATTTCCTCAGCTTGAGAAGTTATATATTTGAGTGAAATTTCTATATGTAAGTTATTATTTGATGTATATAAAAAACTGCAATCTCAATGTGATGAGAATGAGTGGAACGTACATCAGCATATATTATATAATTTATCATTTATGTATGTTTTATTGTGAATATTATGATCAAGGCTATACTTATGCTTTTAGCAAATAAATACAACCTTTTTTTAAAATCTTAAAAATCTAATTTTGCTAGATCATATTCCAGCATAGAGATTTGAAATGGCCAGCTTTTTAATCCTTGTTTTAAAAAATGAGGTCTTACCATTGATCCATGGTTTTTTTGCTAAAAAATATGTTTAACTCAATGACTTAATGACAAAAAATTATTTATCAATTTAATAACATTCTTACTTAAACATATAAAAGTATGAGAAAATATTTTTTAATAAACAAAGCCTACTATATGCCTAAATTTATCCACAATACTGCTCATTACATTATAAACAATTTTAACACCCATTACAGACCTCTATTCCAGCATATATTTATAAATTTCAGATAATTTTTTAAAATTTACATAAAGAAATCTTTGTTCTTATAAATTAATAGTTCATATTAAACTATTAATATATTGTCTGAAATTCACAGGGTTGATATTCTATACATACCAAAATATATTCGAGTCAAATCAGGTCTTTCAAAATTAAAAACAGACTATATTTTAGTTTTAAAATGGTTCAAAGTAAAATAACCAAATGTTCATTGGGCAATTAAGTCATTTTCTGGTAAAGTAGTACTCCGATCTTATGATTTATGTTAAGGCTGGCATGTAATTGTTTACTTTTTAGTAAGTTGTTAATAAGATTATACATTGTTTACCATTAAAATTAATTTATGAGTTTGATTGGATTAAATTATAGAGATCAAGCCAACAAGCACAATAGGTAAAATTAATATCATATTATTAAACCATCTCCTTTGGATTTTGAAAATATTTAATGACAAAATCTTTTCAAAAGATGAAATATAGTCTATCAAATATGAAGAAAATAATCAAAAATATGTGATGTTTTTAAAACCTAAACTATTAAAAAATAGAATATCTGATTATATAGCGATTGCACTTTTTATCAACTTGGTTAAATCTAAATATAGATGAAAAATAGTAAGCCTATTAAAAATGTACCCAGATCAAATTTTGATTACTACTTTTATATTAAAAAAGTTGAAAAATAACTATTAAATGTGACATTCATTGGTCAGCACATAAAATTTTTAAAGAAACTTTAGTATGGAATAGTTCCAATCAAAGCTGCTTGTTAATGTAAAAAGAAAAATTTTTTTTACTTGAATCACAAGCATTTAATTAACATTAAAAAGTATATACTTGGATTGTAAGAAGAACTATGCTTGGTATTCCTCATGATTTTATGCCTATGGTCGTATGGACACTTCATCGTACTTCGTTTCGTTCAATTCTGTGATTGGTTCATGAAGAGTGAAGAAGTGAAAGTTTAAAAATATATTATTTTTTATAACCATAATTATGGACATTCAAGTTCAACTCAAGAAAAACCAATATAATACAAAGTAAGCAAACTAGATATAATAAATTTAATAGCGTAATTTTAGAAAAGAATATTACAAAATCGAAAAGAGGACATGATATTCTTTTAATCATTTGGAATAATACTATCCTAAAGTATTATATTCCACATCGTATTACCTTCGGAAAAATATGATTTGCTTATTGTGAGGTATTTTCCAATCATGTAAGCTCACGGAAACCCAGGATCATAGCATGGAAATTTGCAACAAAGTGTTAGTAGTATTTTTCACAAAGAATTGCGATTATTATAAACAATAAAAAAAAGAAGGTGTTTCAACAAAAATAGCTGGATTTTATCCTATAAGTATTTCTTCTCATCTAATATAAACACTAACACTACCTTGAGTCTGAGGAGTCCTAAGATAAGGGGCAACGCGATTTGTGAGCTTAATATCGGGTCTTAATATAAACCGCATAATTCGGTAAAAGTCCAAAGAAACTTATTATGAATATTGGGACGCTTAAAGGTAAGACGAGAGAATTGGCATCAATGTTAAACAAGAGAAAAGTTGATATAGCGTGCATACAAGAGACGAAATGGAAAGGCCAGAAAACTTTAATGTTGGATATGGGTATAAATTGTTAGTATTTCTTATCATCCATAAACACTAACTCTTATTTTTGCATAGTTCTATGTTCCCATGTAACGCAGTCAACGGGCTTGATATAAGATCTTAATTTGAACCACATAGTTGGGTAAATTTTGTGTATAATAAAATTTGTGTTTATTCTCATTGAATATAAGGCCTAACCCTTGTCTTTGTTAAATAACCCTCAACTAACCGCTATCTCGTAATCCTAGTTTGGTATCATACCTTAGCTTTAACCACATAGTTCGGTAAAATCTATTATCTGTGTGATTTTTTTTTACCTAATTTAAAGTATTTAGTGTATAATAATATTAAGTATTTCTCATAAACTACTTTTATGTTTAGATTCATCTAGCCCACAAATTTAAAATTTGGTTTCATTTTATTAAACAATTTGAATTATAGCCCTTATTAAATAATTTTAAAAGAAGATCCTGAACCTCACCAATTCTACATTATGTTATGACATAATTATTTATATTATTAAACATTCTAATTTTCAATTTATTATTTTATATATTTTTTAATTAATCACATTTGTAGATATAATTTATTTTTTTAGTCTAAAAATTTTAATAATAATACCTATAAAAAATTATAATATCATTTGTTCATTTTTTAAAAAAATATTTCCTTTCTAATCATTCATATTGATAAGGATTACAGTCTCTTTCTTTATTCCACCAAACGGATATTTTGTAAGATTTATTGGGGATATCCTTAATATGCAAATGTTTACAGATTTGGCATAGATATTCATCATCTAGTCTTGGAACTATTTCATATTCTTTCCTCCAAGCGTGATATTTATCGTAAAGCTTGTCATCGGAATCTAATTTCAAAAGATAGTTAGCTACTTCTTCTAAATTGTTGGAATGAAAATAAGGGTGATTCTTTGGTACCTCTTGATTAATATCTCGAATAGAAGGATCCTTTTGAGAAGATATATTTCCTATTGGTTTGATAAAAGAAATATAATACAGTTCATTATAAAATATAATAATTATTAGAGATGGAAAAAAAACATAATTTATTATTAATTTTTCAAAAATAAAATAAAATAAAATAAAATGTTGAGAAAAAACAGAAAAAACAAGTTAAAATATCATTTCAAACAAAATTTTGTAAAGATTTTCAAAATATAATTTTTTTTTAAAATAATTAATATAAAGGATAATTTTTTCCCCTTAATATCACAAAGTGTAATGTAAAAATATACACTTCCGAGATAAATGATTTTGCCATTACTAATAATCAATAATAATAAAATAACTAATATTTAGAGGGCAAGAGTGTATTATGAAATACAAAATCAAATAACCATTTTAAGGATAAACGTGCTTAAATGATGCTAATAATATGTATTTTTTGAAAAGACCCCTTAAACCCTAAAATGGTCTCGAATAGTTACCATCTCTCTACAAATTATGATATATATAATATTACCAACGACTTCGTTCGTCTTCATAGCCAGGGGCGAGGCGATGTAAATAAAAGAAAATGGGGGAGCTATCTTGACATACTCAGAGTATCGAGCCCCAAACACTATGGGTACCACACCCGCGTGGAGCGCGCGAAACATTTTCTCGGTTATATAATGTGCACAATTAGCATTTTCAAACGCCAAATAAAATTTATAATTGGATATAAAATTTTCCAAACAATCCTTTGCATGCCCTTCAGAATCACAGATCCGAGAACCGCTACCAGAGAATCGATTGGAACATCTACCATACACTTCTAGACTACGAGTAGGCCCGGTGCCAATCACTATAAAAGGAATATATAAAAAAAAGGATAAATAATACATAAAATAAGAAAGAGTGAGGTCTGATTAGATAATTATTGCTATTTCTCTAACTCCATAGCTATGAGAAAAAAGCAAAACTCATGTAGCTAATATTTATAACATCGCCTAAAGAAAAGAACAAAAGAGTTAAATAAAGGAAATCAGGGAATTATACAAGAAACACTTTTAGCTATTTAATTTTAGTTTTTTTGATATAAAACTCGTTATCGAACCTTAAAATATCCCCTTTAATTACTGAGCCCGTTATTTTTTTTTTAACCAATTAGTTGTTAAAACTTTGTCAGCCAAGCGCTTGTCGACTTTCTATAAAAAATAATACAATACGGTTTTGCCCTTGAATGTACGCCTATGGCTACGTGTTTCCCTTAGATTAAATAAAAAATTTTAATTAAGGGAATGAATGCATAAGGAAAAGGGATTAGAATAAATTTTTTTTTGATCTGATTCACATGTATTAACTTGTTACATGTATTAACCTTTATATTATTTTCCCCATACTACTGGGATACACGATATCGACATACCAACAACAGCTAAAGATTAGATTAAAAATAATGGCAAGATTGATTATAATGATAGTCAGTAACCTATATTATACAATAATAGAAATCTCAGAAATTTTAATTAGTTGGAAGAGATGTACTAAAACATAAGAATCATCGTTCCTTTTTAAATATTCTAACCGGCCGTCATAATTATTGTTTTGGTATTATTAAATGACATTTCAACTTTTACCAATATTCTTCGACAACGCAAATAATATCTCATTACTATACTTAATTCTTTCTTCGTTACTATGTTAAATCGACTATAAAGTGATACCGTCAAATATAATAAAACAGGTAGAGATCATGTATAGGATCTATATAATAGTGAAAATACATGATACACTCTTCAATTCTTGATGGGTAATGAATTTCAAGCATGAAAATGACTGACTGAATGAAATTCATTGTTTAAGATGTTATATTTAATGAGTCAAAAAATAAAAAATACAAAAAATTATAATAGTAATATTTTTTGGCCCAACTCAATTAATAGTGTTACAGCCTCGGGCCTAGGGCCGGCCCTGCAGGACTCTAGTATGCATATGTATCATTAAGATAAACAAACAAACAATTATATTACTTTTATTTTGGATTGACGTGATATGATTCTGTATTTCTTCGATATATTCTAAAACATTTTTATTTTAAAAAATTGAATATATTTATATTACTCTTATAAAAGTTAAAAAAATTAAATATTTAATAGAGAAGTAATCTAATAGTCACTTTAAAGGGTGCAATTATGGCATTTCATATTAATTTTTATTTTTAAAATGTGTGCAAGACCAGGTGGTCTTATAAATATTCCTTGGTTTAGAAGAAAACATATAATTTGAAATTTTATCTGCGCCTCATAATTCTCTATTAACCCAAGCATTGACCCAATTATATGATCTTAAAAGTCTAAAATCAGAAAATGCCACAACCTTTGGGATTCTCATTTTATTTCTATATTTATGAGTACTTAGGTCCAGTAGACTATAATGTTTTTAAAATTTTAGCAAATTATTTTTTCTAATCAGTGGAGATGATGAATTCTATTTTAAAATTTTAAAATCTACTCAATTAATTGTGTTCTGTGCCAACTACTTTAGTTTCCTTGGAACTTAATGTTTGTCTTTTAATCTTTTATATTATTATATAGTATAATTGTTGTGATGTCCTAATCGATACTATATTTTTTTTTTATTCTTTATTAAATTAACTTTAACCTATAGCGGACTCGTTTTGTAAAACTTAATAAAGTTAACTCAATAATTCGATATAAATTACTTGATAGATTTTGTAAACTATATAAGCGTAGAAATTTATTGTATTTAGAGTTAAAATATTTTATATATATTTTTATAAATAAAAATCTTAAATTATTTAGTTAAATCTTGTCCAACTCCTTGCCAACCTTAACATAATATATTTAAACAAAGAATAAAATTTTTTTTAAAAAAAAGTCCAAAAAAAAATAAATATTTGAATGATTAAGTTAACTAATATCTACCTTACCTAGCAATATAATAAATGCTTTTTATAAATCTATAAAATTAATATCATATATACCCTCAGCATTTGTTTGCAATTTATTTGAAAACCATATTTAAAAACCATAGGTATTTGCAGGTTATCTAGAACATTGGAAAATTAGTATAGTGTCTAGATATTCCAACACAGCTCGAACCGCATAAATATATCACATTTCACTTAATACTGATTCCATGGGGCAAAGGCATATATATGAATTGACCTGTATCTTCAGTTAAGTCTCCATTCATAGCAATTACTATCCTCGTGAAATTGCTGAGAGAGGTGAAAATAAGCTTAAAATCCAATATCTGTTAATAACATATTCATACCACTAACTATAACATCCTCCTGTTCTTTTGGAAAATAGACGAAATTTTCTTTCAAAGTTAAAGGTCAAAGGAGCTCTGAATTCATAATCTTAAGAGCATCCAAAGAAACTAAGAAATCATCCGTTAAGATTGATGATAATCACCACCAATTGCCATAATGACCGGCGAAAACTTATAATTATAGAATTTTTTTTTTCAAATTTAACATTTTTTTTTATAAAAAGATGTTTTTAATAGGTTAATTTTTTTTAAATATTCCATTAGGGCACAATTATATTTTAAAGATAAACTTTATAATTAATTTTATATATTTGAAATAAATATGTTTCAAAACAAAAAAGAAATTAACTAAATATTGTTCTCTGTCGGTGTCAATAATACTACATTATAGTTTAGTGTAGTTAAATGCCTCTTTTTGAGCCGATTTTTTAAAACGGCTAACTCAATATTTTAGCCAAAAAAATATTGCCTAAGCCTGGAGATTTCGTCAATATATGTCTAGACCTTTGTTCCTTCTTTGAGCAAAATCTTCAGGGTTACGTAATATTATTTCTGGATGAAATATTGAGTTAGACGTTTTTAAAAATTGTCTCAAAACGAACCGTTTAACAACACTACTTTAGTTAGCTTCAAATAATTTGAAATGAAAACATTATACAGATAACTCAATATAATTAAAAAAAAATAATATCATTTTATTTGTATCAGAGGCTTACAGGGGGCCGGTCAGGATTTCAGAAATTTTATTTAAGCTATACCCGGTGAAGAAATTTACATTTTGAAGCCCGTCAGGGGATTTCGTAAGAATTTTTTTGACTAGTCCACCCCCCCCCCCCCACACTTCCAAATTTTTTGTTTTTGATTATTTTTCGACTCAGCTCTGCTTGGTATTGAGAATTTTATTCGTTATCTCTAATAATTTTTACCTTATTTTTGAAAATTATTTATTTTCAAAGGTTTTGGAAATACGGGCAGCTTGCTTCTCGCAAAATGATTAATTGGTATAATATAAATATTTTCCCCACACTTTGGCTTAATTCTCCTCTTCATTATATATATATGATATTATATTTTTTTAAAAAATATCATTAGCGTAATAAAGATAAAAATTGAAAAACCTATTTTGAGGAAAGAAGATTTTTTAAAAAAATTAATTTCTAGTGGCTCATAAGAAACACATTTTGGGAACCCTATACCACACATACGCTCAAGGACATTGGTTAATTTGAGAATAAATAGGTAAAATTTTCGAAAGAAAAAAAAAAGAGGAAAATAAAATGGGGTCACCAAAAAATGGAAATTAATACATATACCAAATTAAACATAAATTTTAAGATGTAAAATCATGTTTATTTAACATATATATTTAATACACTATAATATTACTATATATATATACATAAAAAAATATACTTAACCATAACTGTATTTAATAAATATATTTCGTTCGAGATCTAATAAAAGAGGAAGGTAAATGAAAAAAGTTGCAAATAGACCGACTATGGGTTCCTCTTTTACTACAGCTATAGGCATTGATTAAATTTTAATATTATATATAAAATAACAAATTTAAACATAATATAAACATTATAGAGTAAAGAAAACAAAGGTATGATAGATATTGTCGTGTGTCATAATTAAACAGCTTCGCCCTTGAATATTGTGATTGTTGGATATAACAGAGTTTTGCCTCATTCCCATCATCACATTAGGAAAAATAATTACAAGGGGGGGGGGATTCCTATGCGTTAAACCATCCATGGTTTTGGATAGATCGCGATTTAACTGTATGCATAACTAAACAAACTAGTTATTTAAATGTTTACTTGATTTTAAAAGTATATAAAATGGAGAAAATATATACATTTTTTTAAATTAGCTAGACCAGTTTTTGAATATTTTTTTAAAATCTTAACCTTATTCTGTTTGTAAAGACTAACCAAAGCGTGCACTAGTCTATTATAGCTAATATTTAATTTTCAAATTATCTTGCAATTCAGATATGTTCCTACCTAAAATGTAATTAAATAGTTTTAGGGAGGTAGGGTTGGGCCGATACCTAAATGTCGAACATATATAAAATTAAAAATATTTCCCCCATTTTTATAAAAAAAATATTTATAAGATAAATTTTTTTTTTTACAATTTTATGGTCGGCACACCGAATAATTATCTCTATTTATAATTAATTGAAATGCACATTAATGCCATTTAACCGACGTGAAAATCACAAAAATGGCGTTATAGCTGTCTCCTATGAGCGGGCTCTTTTGGATGCATTTAATTTATGGATGGTAAACCTATTAGTGTATAAATACATAACTGATTGGGATATGGAATTCATGGATATTCGCAATCTCTTAATTTTTAAATCAATTAATAAGGACAATTTTTTAACGATAAAACATCTGATTTGGCCGGAAATTATTCTAGTACGAATAGAGTGCTCACCTGGTAAATATCTGAAAATTTTGCCACTTACTTTTAAACAGGATTGTGAGCCCAAGGGTTTGGAAATTTGAAATTCTCTGATTGTACATTTTAAGACCCCAAACCCATCGAACCCTGGATAACACAGAAGGGCTCATTCAGACTTCTTTTAGAAAATTGTCTACGATTAAGTTTCACTTATCAAAGTTTCCGCTAAATAGAGTTTTAAATTCCTGAACCCTAATTTGGGTTTCACAAGCCTGATTTTGAACTACACTTAATTTACCTTAATATTTATATAGAATTTTTCATTGAATTAAAAAAATATACAAATTTTAATGGGGTTATAGTTAAAAATTTTAATTTACCTTAATATTTATATAGAATTTTTCATTGAATTAAAAAAATATACAAATTTTAATGGGGTTATAGTTAAAAATTTAGGGTAAATACTCTATATATGCTAGCATACATTTCCGGTCAAATCAGACTTCTCAAATTTAATAATTGCTCTTAATAAATGATACAAAATTGAGAGAATCTGATTCTCCATGAATTTCATATCCCAATCCAACTTATACATCTTCAAACCGACCCATCTTATCAATTAACTCAAAACTAGATATAATAAAGTAGATTCAAATGTGAGTGAATCATCCAATGTAATCGAAATTAAAAAATTCTGCTTTAAGGGTCTGTACAGAAAATTTATATATAATAAAAGAAAAGACAACAACTTCAAAAAAAATAAATAAATAAACTTACCAAGTCGATGATTAAATGAAGCGCAATTGCTCATAACACTGATAGCCAATTTTTTTTTGTTTTTCGAATACATTTCATAATTTTTGGAATGATTGGAAGTCGATTTTTTGATATCGATTCCCAGATAAGTATAATATGGTTTGTTGATATCGGATTGTGGCAAATATGTAATTGTCCAGTTGAAGACATAATCATATTTGTCTAATTGGTAAGGTATCTCCGGTTCATTATAGCATGTGAGAATAGGAGATTCCTATTATATATTTTTTTAAAATCTATGATATATATAAACGAATAAATTGACGATTTCCACTGCCATTATCATTAACCCTGTTGGAATTAGGTTTCTGCCCTTTCAAATCTAAATTTGTACCCTTCCAGGCTCGTTACTAAGATTGTCCGGTCCACTCGGGTTTTTAAATACACGGGCTAACCCGAAATAAATGCAGTTAATATCAAAATAAACAAATAATATTGGGGAAATAGCTTAATTAAAAAAAACATTATTCATGTATTATTATCACTTTTTATCAAATATCAAAATTCTTCAATGAATCGGTCCAAAAATTTATAAAGCCCTGATAATTTTTTTTAAGATGTTACTAGGCTCGATACGGCACAGACATCCAGGTTAAACCATATTTTTTTTTTAATCCGACAAATTTTATGACCTATCAAACATGATTTTATATGGTATTTATTTAATTTAAAGGGCGCGTTAATGGTTGGTTCCAGGAACTTTAATCCATTTAAATAGCCTATTTTTATTTAGGCTAAACGAATGAAATCCCCACAGGTCTCTTATCAATCATAAAATTAGTGTTAAAAGCCCGATTTGGGTCGTTAAGCAATTAAGATTTTAGTCAAAATAATATTATGTAAGCCTGGAAATTTCGCTCGTAGATCACAGAAAGGTTTTGGATCATCTATTTGTCAAATCTCGCAACTTATATGGCCGTTTTTAAAAATCAAAACGCAAATAACAAGTCTACCATAAAATTAAATATGCTTAAGATAATTTCGATTATCTAAAAAAAACATTTTTCTCTCTCTTACCATCATAAAAAATATCCAAATTTGATTATATGAATGATTAAATGGCAATTCACGAAATTGCATATCCCTTAAATGGAATATTAGAGCGTCCGAAATTGATAAATGAGTTTTATCGGTTGAAAGCGTGCATGAAGAATATTTACAATTTTTAAATGGGTTTTATCTTAGATCCTTAATTGACCATGTTTCATCACCTAAAAATACTGTCCATAGTAATATATTCTTCGTTTTATCACTTGTTAAATTTGTTATTAGAGATATGTTCGACTTGTGAGCCCAATTCATTGATAAATTATATATGGTTAGATTTGGTATCAATTTGGCAATATTGTAGTCGATGAAATAATAATATGAATTTTATATTGTAATTTTTGGTAAATATCGCGAATTATATTTGACGAACGATTAAAAATATTTTTATCTCGAAATAAAAAAATATATCGTTAAAAAATATTCCAAATAATAAATAAAAGCATTTATTTAAAATAAAAATAGTCCTGTTCATTTCGACAATTTATATTTAATATTGATTAACGGAAAGTTAATGGTAAACAGACTTAGGTGGTATGGGCACACAATGAGAAGGCCTATGAACTACGCAGGAAATAAGGTTGAGAGTTTGGAAGAGATGGGCAAACGTAAAAGAGGATGGCCAAAACTTCAATGGGGCCATAAAGTTAGAGCCAATATAAAGAAGTACAAATTAGATGAAAGAGATTGTATGAATAACATAAAGTGGAGAGATGTTGAAGAAGCTTACCACCAAAAAAGGAAAATAAAAAAACGAAAAGTGTTATTTATTTTCGTTAAAATTTATTTTATTTACATTTAATTAAAAATAAAAATATCATGTTATAAATTTGCATGGCAGTTTTTGCAAGTTTAGCTAAATTTAATCAAAATATATAATTAAATTGAACTCGAACAAATGAATACACTAAACTTTGAACTATTTAAATTTCATGAAGGAGTTCATAGAAACAAAGTGGAAATTTCCCAGCGATAGTGCAAATATGATTTTGTTAAAAATTAATAATTTTTATTATTTCCCTTCCTGCAGTGCTTCTAAAAATGATATTTTCCATTGATGAAGATTCATTGTTTTAGAACATGAAGCAAAGATGGCCTTTTGTTATAATATTGTTATGTCCATGATACTTGACTAAAATTAATAATCAAACAATGTTAAATAACATTAAATCCCAAATTTGGAAAAAAACATTCTTTGCCAATTTTATTGGGGTAGGGAGAAGGAGTATAATAAAAGGAATCTATATATGAATGGCCGCTGTTGGCTATATAATTTGGTATTTATTAGATACGACCATGGGCCTGATGTTAGTTAGGGGTTTTCTCTTTATAAATATAACTCGGAATGCTAAAATTATTTTAATTCGTTTAAAACTAAAAATTACTTGTCAAACAATATCTGGGGTGGGGTTAGTTTTTAATTCTATGTATGAATAATCTATAACCTTTGAGCTTAATGCTCAATGAATTGTGTCAATCTTCTTAACGTGGTCACAGGAACGCATGAATGAAACACTTATCAAAATTGATTTTGCAAATGTTTGCAACACTCTCTCCCGTAGCCCAATTTTGCAAAAGCCAGCCTATCATTCCCATGCTATATCAAGTTCCAATATTCTTGCTACCAATTTCCATCAATTTTCAACTCTCAAAAAAACTCTCAACAGAGAGCATCCAACAAGATAACCCACTAGGATCCATTTTATTTTTCCAGAAAACAATAAGATAATCCAAGCCATTAATTTAGAATGTTCACTCTCACTCCACATCTGTTTATATAAGACAGAATCATTAGTAGATCTCAATCAGAAATCATTAAGGTCGTAGATATTATCAAGGAAATGGGATACGAAAGTGTGTACTCCACAAAATTTAAATTTCGAGCAAAATGAAGTTAGAAATTTCCAAAAATTTTAGAATATCATACCTTTATTCCATTAATATCCACAACCATATCTTCCTTTAGTATGCTTGCATTCCTTCTTCAAGGATTTAGGATCTCACATCTGCAAGCTTACTGTTGATACTTAAGAAGGCTTCTTCCTAAAGCAGAGACTGACCATAGCAATCCCTGAAGCGATATAGTCAGACTTCTCTCTGTAACTTCGTCAGACTTAGGCTTCCTTCTTTATTCTTCTCATTTTTCCCTATATTTCATCTCTATTTTTTTAAATTTTGGATTTGTTTTTTTTGTATATAAACAATTGATTATTATTTTTTAATATATAAAAATATTGTATATTGTATATTTTATATATTTATAAATTAAAATTTATCTTATTAGAATTCTTTTAATATTGAAACATAGTAGAATAAGGGTTTTGCAAATAAAATATTTTAAACAAACTACACTATTTATCCAGTTGGGAATTAAATTGTTAAAATTATATATTTTTTTCCCACCATGCATGGCAGTAAAATTTTTTTTTGGCTCTGTCCAAATCCAAAAGATTTGGCAACAGTAACTTTATTAACAAAAAATATATTAACGATATTAAATATTTTGGCATACACCCTTGCGTTAAACACTTTTATTGTTAAATAAAATTAAAACTTTATTTCTTACATATTTGGCTATTCTTACAACTCGGTTATTTAATATTCTAATAATTCTTTACGAAATGTCAGGGGCCATATTGACAGGCTCCCCGTACGATGTGTTGTGAGAGTTTGATCACGATCGTTCCATCGGGACTTTCAAGGGGTGTTAGTGGATTGATATGATAGTAATAACGTTTTTTCCCTTAAAATTATAACAATAATTTGGAGTAGGTGATGATTTTCCTCAAAGTGGAATACAATCATTAATTACATTATAATGGGGAAGGGGTCAGTGGCACACATTTGGTGGATAATTAGTCGTGAGGTGGGGGGATATATTAGTAGCCTTCTTTTGCACTTACGTTAAATTCAGTCTTTTAACTGATTCAACTTAAACAAAATTTTCAATAGATAAATAAATTCAATATCATTTATACTTACACCTAGGTTTCGGTAAAGTTAGTTTCATATCGGTTCCCAATGATCTAATTAATGATCAATTAAACCAACTAAATATTTGATTTGTTCTATATTCTTATTGTACATACTATTTTATCTTACTTAAAGGATTTATAATCACGGGGGAAAAATATTTCAAACATATTTATTCCTTATAATTTTTTTAAAGGAAAAATGTATTTTAGTATTAGCATACCAAAAGTAATCAAAAATGCGCAATTTATCGTTTAAAATTTATAAATAAATTATTTATAATCTCATTATAAAAATTTTGGGAAAGTTAAAAACCAGAGGTTCTCAAATGGCAAGAATTTCAGGCCCAGCCATGTTGGAATTTACTTTCAGCCCGGCCATACCAAATTTGTATCCAGCCAGAATCGTTCCCATTTTTTTTTACTAAGATTGTAATTAACCCGAAATAAAGTAGTTACATCAAAATAAACAACCATGTATAATATCGGCTACATTTTATGGATTATCATTGCTCCCAAATACCCGAATGCATTAATGATCCAGCCCAGTAATTTATTTTGCTCGACCTGGCCCAAATAAAAAATTTTAAGATCTTACCTGGCTTAGGGTTTTCTGACACATATTAATATGATTTTAAATGGTATATTTATAAAATTAGAGAGCCTGCTGATGGTTGGACAAAGTTACTTTAGTCCATTTAAGTAATAGTCTATTTTAAATTTAGATTAAACGATTGAAAATCCCACAGGCCTCTTATCAATACAATTAGTTTTGTTAAAATGCCCAATTTGGATGGATATACGATTAAGATTTTATCCAAAATAATATTACGTAAGCCTGGAAACTTTGCTCTTAGATGAACAGAAAGGGTTAGGATCATCTATTTGCCAAATATAAAAGCTTACATAATATTATTTAGGCTAAACGTTTTTTTTAAAAATCAAATCTAAATTAGACTTTTTAACAACACTTACATAAAATTAAATATGCTTAAATTAATTTCGATTATTTAAAAAAACATTTTTTATTCTCTTACCATCATAAAAAATATCCATATTTGATTATATGAATGATTAAATGGCAATTCACGAAATTGCATATCCCTTAAATGGAATATTACAGCATCCGAAATTGATAAATGAGTTTTATCGGTGGAAATCGCGCATGAAGAATATTTACAATTTTTAAGTGGGTTTTGTCTTAGATCCTTAATTGACCATGTTTCATCACCAAAAAATGTTGTCCATAGTAATATATTCTTCGTTTTATCACTTGTTAAATTTGTTATTAGAGATATGTTCGATTTGTGAGCCCAATTCATTGATAAGTTATATATGGTTTGATTTGGTATCAATTTGGCGATATCGTAGTCGATGAAATAATATGAGTTTCCGTGTAATTTTTTGTAAACATCGCGTATCATATTTGACGAAAGATTAAAAATATTTTCATTTCGAAAAAAATATATCGTAAGAAATATTGCAATTAATAAATAAAAGCATTTTTTTAAAATTAAGTTCATCTAACAAATTTATTTTATATGATTAAAAGAAATTTAATATCTTATTTTAATTATTAATTTTATTTACGTTTATAGTTAAAAAAATAAAATAAAATTTTGTATATTATAAATATATGGATACCAGTTTTTGTTTAGCAGAATTTAAGCAAGATATCTAATAAAATTGAACTCGAACAAATAAATACATAAAACTGTGAAATATGATTTATTTAGTAGAATATTTGACTCTATCAAGAAATTTAACGATATCGTAGGACATGATCGAGAAATTTAACGACATCGTAGGATATTAGGAATAATGAAGATTGCAACTTGAACAACGCCATGATGAAATATCAAAGCTATAAACGGTTAAGATATATTTTTTTTGAGTGAAAAATGTTGATTTAAATTAAATTTTTAAATAAAAAACAAATCTAATCTAATCTAAACGTAGATTCGTTTTTATATAACTTTTGAGCTAAATGTATTTTTTTTTCGTTTTTATTATATCAATTTATAATTTTTATATTAAATATATTTTAAATTAACTAATCATTTTTATTATAAAATTTGTTATATTTGGCTAGTTGTAAACTTTTATTATTTAAATCGAAATACGACCAAAGGCTAGATGTTGGTTAAAGTTTTAAAATTTGTAATATTTGGCTAGTTGTAAGCTTTTATTATTTAAATTAAAACATGATCAAAGGCTTAATGTTGGTTAAAGTTTTGCTAAAAAGGTATAATGCTAAATGTTACAATGTTTATAATTTGTTTAAAAAATAAGTATTACTTGTCAAACAATATCTGGGGTAGGGTTAGCTTTATTTTTATATATAGGTATTAAAATGTCAATTTTTTTTTCTTAACTAGGAAAAGAAATCTAAACACGAGTCTTATTTTAGTAACAAATTCCACAAATTAATTAATACGATTTTGCTAATGCTGACTTATATCCTCTTCTTTGCGCTCAACGTAAATTTCATATCCCTCTTAGCATTTATGAAAAGGGAATAAAAGATCTAACGGGAAAAGCTGTTTACATTCCCTAATAAAATATAAATTTATTTTATTCGTTATAATCAGCTGTTTTGTGGAAGTCCCTCCTCTTATTTGTTAAAAAAACAACAACTCAAAACACAAAATTTGAAATATTTCCTTGCTCAATAATTCTTCTCTTGTGAATGAATGATGTTACAAGGGTTCAATTTATGAATTAATAATAAGGAGAAATAAAATTTGTTATTATATAAAGGATTGAATGAAATTAACTCAATTGTTGAATAAAAACATTTATTTAAATAATATACAAAATGCTTTTCAGAAATTGAAACTAAAATAAATCTATAATTTCTTTTTAAAAAAAAATAATGAAAATTTCTAAATACAGAAAAGATAGAAAAGATTTTAAAAAAACATTAGCGCAAAATACGTTAATATGGTTTTGATATGAGGAATATTGATGATTCCTAGCAATTAATCCTGAAAAATAGTAGAAAAAAAATTTATCAAATTTTATTTTAGGACCAAAATTAATACATAACAAATCTGCATAATTAATTAAAAGAATCTGTAAAAAAGGCTTAAGGATTACTAATGTTAATTTAAGGAATATTACCGAAACGCGTTGCAATCTGTTTGTTCAAGCGAGGATGAGGAGAACTCATCGATATCGCATCATAAAAAATTATAAGTTATTGTTAGAGATGATTATTTAAAATAAAATTAAAAATAAATAAATTATATTAATATTAATTAAAATTAAAATAATTATAATATATATATCGCGATTTCAACTTATGACCTTTTATAAATATATAGCGATTTCAACTTATACTTTTACAAACTTATTTCATTTTATTTATCTTTATATTCAAATTCATATTAATTTATATGACTATATAAACTTTAAAATTTCGACGTGTTCAATAATGTTAAATTAACCTTTTATAAATAAAATTTAGTGTTTTCATCTTGCCCTGCCACCGTGTCTTTTTAACAGTTATCTTTATATCATCTCGATTATATAAAACAAAATTTACTATATTTTTTAAAAAAAAAAATTTTTAAAACGAAAATATTATGGTAAGAAAAATTATCAAAATTAGAAGTTTTTAAAAAACGGTTTGGAGATATATAGGAGATCCTTACTTTTTATATTAAACGGCCCCCCTTTTTATTAAAATATTTTATATAATATTTATTTTTACCAGATTTTTTTAGGCGAGAGCATATAATTTGTTAAATTTGGCCTTTACAGCTAAAATTTTTTTTCTTCACTTGATCACAATTCAGAATATATATTTTCACAATTTCCTCTAAAATTTTCCTATTTTCTATAGAATCTCTGAATTTTAAGACATTTTTGTGCCAGAGGTTCCTGCGCACTCTTAAGCTTTTCATAAAACTATTTCTGATACTAAAAAAATATATTTATAATATAAATGGCTATAATTTTTTGGGTTAGTAAATTTATAAAAATGGGCGGTATTATTTAAAAAATTGTTCACGAATCCAACAACTATTTTTTTTAAGCTCAAAAATAGATATTAATCAGTTTAAAATCCCTTAAAATAATATTATATTCATTATAATCTAGTATCATATTCCTATAAATCATTTCAATCAAATAAATTTAAAATCCAAATCACACAATCACCCAAACTAGAATGTTAAAAAGGGGCCTTTGCCCTCCTTGAGACATATTATACTACTCTATTGCATCTAGATGTTCAAGTATACACACTCTGGTTCCATTAACCATCAGTATTCCTTCCTCTCCACCACAAATCCCACAATACAATAATTCTGCTATTAATGCTATAAATCAATTACCCCATTATAAAACCATCTTTGCAATTAAAGGTTTCATATCATGATCTCATATAATAAACTCATTTGTAAATAGAAAATCAAAATTATAGAATTATCCCATATAGAAAATTTTAAATTTATTAGTGAAAATGGACTATATAATTATATAGTCCATTTACTAATAAATTAAATTTCATTTTTTGGGATAAAATAAAATAAACATGTTTTAAGACAGTTTTTTATGCATATTCTAAATCCGCTGTCAGTTTTTTCTAGCACGTCAGGTTTTTTATTTATTTTAGGTTAAAGTGGCCAAAAAGGTCATTCTTAGCACTTTTTGAAGATTTATAACTTTGGTTCTAATGATCCCTACAACTAAAAAAATATCTTAATTTTTGCAGCAAACCTTCCTTATTATTATTATACATTATTTTTTCATAAAATCCTTACTCAATTTTTAAACATCCTATATTTTTTTAAATTACCTTTATTTATAAAATCTTTTTTAATATAGCTTACATTTAATATATTTATTTTTTGTGGCTTTCGTTCTCTTCGCTTTATGAAAAATTAAACGCGAATATGAAAAATTAAGCGCGAAAAAAACTAATTCTTATCCTTTCTTCCTATTTGTTATTTGGCATTATTATTTATTGCCCATACTACGGGTTCAAGGTACTCCATTGGAAAATCATATATTTTGATATAAATTGATTAAAAAAACAAATATTCTTATATACATCTAAAAAAGATAAATATTAATAAAAAATATGAAAAAATTACCTCATAAAGAGTACAAATTAAAAAGGTGGGTACAGATATCTGATTTTTGTATAAATTAATCATAAATGCATAAAATATTACTAAATACAACTAAAAAAGATAAATATTACCTTAATTTAATATCTGTACCGACTTTTTTAATTTATAGATTTTGGTTGAATTTTCATGGCATAGAGTACTTTTGAAACATAATTAGAATTAATATATAATCTTGAGCATATTTGAAGCAAAATTATATAAAATTTATCTTCTAAAGTTAATAATTTTGATAGTAATTTAAATTAAAAACCCCCAAAACGAAATTCTTTACCATTTATCTCAAAAAACCAATCGATAAAAAATTAGTAAATTTATAAAAAAATGTAAGTTTAACACTATCACCAATTTTCAGGGATTTTTATTCGATATTAAATACATATATTTAAATTATGAGGGCAATAAGAAAAATATAGATACTTTTAAGCTTATTAGATACATATATTGAAATTATGGGGGCAATAAGAAAAATAGATACTTTTAAGCTTATAAAAATTTGACTTCCTTGATAAATAATTATTCTTCTATAAAACACTGCCTAGACACCATGTCATTTGCCTTTAATACCTTATAAGTTCCTGATTCTGCCAGCAAAAAATCTCTGACACAGCAAATTAAGGATGCAACTTACCCCTTACCCATCAATTACATGTCCATATCTTTTAAACAGATAAAAATAAAAATCACAAAAATGACCTGCTCACAAAGGCCATGCTATTATCTATAAAACTAGATAACCTGAATGTTAAATCCACCATATGTCTGGCAACCTCGACAATAAGCTGGCTCCCTACGATCAAGCAACTTATCAAGCTCTTCTCCTAAAACACCACTCACACGATCTTAAGGACGAAATACCGTCCTACCCCGAAGCTCCTCTAATTGCGGCCACTTATACCATAAGCGACGTTATAAAGGCTATTTATTCTCTCCTTCAAACGCGACTCCTCATCTGGGTTTGATGGGTTTTGCCCAATATTTCTAGAAGATCTAACCATGTGACTTTTTGGTAAAAATTACCCAACTCATCGCTTGCTTACTGGAGGCTTACGACCATCTATTATTCCAATCCTATACGGAGCTAAACTCATCGCTCTCCATAAACCTAATAAAGATATTCGCCCTATCGCTAGGAACCACTTTGCACCGATTAACCGCCAAGCCAGTAATAAGCATAATATTGTTGCAATCACCTGTGCCCGAATTAATTAAGAGTCAACGTAAAAGGTGGATGCGAGGTATCCCTTCATATGACCCTGATGTATTTACAAACAGACTCCAGCAACGATATCCTAGTTAAAGTAGACTTTTCGAACGCCTTTAACTCTCTAAGGCATAGAGCCTTTCTAAATCCAATCCTAATCCTCTTCCCAGAAAACTTACAATTATCTTCGATTGTTATGGTAGTCCTTCGCATTTTCAATTTGGAGACAAATTGATTCCTTCTAGCGATGGAATACAACAAGGTGACCATCTAGGTTTCTTTTTGTTCTGTATGGGCATTAATAGCCTTATACAAGGAATGAATGACCAATGCAAACTTAATCTTTATAATTGGTATATCGAAGATAGTATACTAGGCGGCCCACCGGCTAAAGTTAGGAAAGCAAAATAATAAAATCCAGCGAGAGCAGTTTAGGACTGCGAATTAATCAATACAAATTGCCCTTTTGGGATCATTGACCTTTACCATGATCTTATGTTCAATCATACACCATTTAACACTTTAACTCGAATATCCAGTAGGTAAAGACAAATCCTTTATCAAATTCTTCGCCGATATTTTAAGAGAGATGTCCCTCATGCGAGATACACTATCCCGACTACCAGCCCACCAAACTTTCTTCCTATTGAAGAACTACCTTCTCATCTCAAAAATTTTATATACACTCCGATCGTCACGAATCTTTCAATACGATGTCAAGTCAACCTCGCTGCGCATGAGCTCGAGATTAAAGCCTCACAAAGATATACTCCATCTTAAATTTTGAGACCTATCTTGGTAACAGGCTACCTTAACAACCAAATCCGGCAGCATTGATATAAGATCACCTTCCCTACTTTCCGTTAGTGCGTTCATATCCTCTCGCCTGTCTTGCTAGCCCATCATAAACACACTCATAAAATATCCTGACACCTTGCTTCTGCTGGCAATCGATCCATGAAAGTCTCTCTCAATCAATCCTACCTCATCGGCACTACAAATGGACTGGGATAAGTCTCTAGTTGGCAACTCCATTGCACACCTTAAATCAAGGGGCCAACCCGAAGACCATTTTCTTCTCATTTCCACTTCCGCAGAGAGCGATTATGAATTTTTTGAGGCTTTCCCATTGCGAAACCTTTACCAGCTCCTAAGCAATGATGAACTACATCAAGCTATCACTGTATCCTCTGTCAAACATCGGTTAACTCCAAAGGCCGCTACTCTCTGCACTGCAAGCGCTATAGAGACAGATTTATTAGGTATTCAAAATGCAATGATACTATTGCCAGGGCCTTAAAATCTGCCGGCATCCCATCAACCATCGAACCTACTGGACTTCTTTACAATTCAGATGGTACTGACTGATTGTTCTACCATGATTCCCTAGAAGAGAAGGGAATTCCTAACCTAGAATTTCTCATGCATTGATCTCGTACCAGTGATCTTCATAATCTGAGCCGACTCCCAGTTCCATACCCGGTTCGAAAATTTTTTAATTGTGCCGGGCTTGGGCCTAATTTTTTTTTACAAATTTAGATTATTTTAAAGATATTTATTTGGACAAATATAACAAATCATTTATCCCATTTCCTAGACACCTTGGGAGAGTTTTAATTTTGTTTTTGTTTAAAATTGGAAATTGGTATATTTATTCCTGAAATAACTGATTTAAAGTTTAAGACTATTATAGGTAATTCCTACACTTAATTATATAAAATACCATGATATTTTTATTTTAAAATCACTTTTTTTTTCATTCTTATAAAACTGAATCACACTGTTACTTCTTTATTGTGACAAATCCAATATTAATTAGAAATTAAATATATGGCTATAAAGATGATATTTGATTAATAATCTTTACAATAATTGAAATAAGGATTTTATATCATTTATAAATTCAGTTGGTTTTCTATGTATTTTTTATGTGTATTACACTAATGAGATTGAAGGCTAAGAAAGCTGTTAATATGTAACATAACACTCTTTTCTCTGAACTTTGATTTTTATGTGTGTTTTCTTTGTATGTGGGTATTATGTGATGATAATGAATGAATAGATTTATTTTGAATGACCAACAGATTTGACCTTTAATATAATAGTACAACTTATATTTAGAATATACAAATATGATTTTTTATCATCATCATATTGCTAAAGTTCATCATGATTTTTTTCTGGCCAATAAATTTGCACCAAATTAATCTGCATTCTGTGCAATCTTTTTGATAATTCTGGCCTCTTTTTTTATTTCCCTACAACACTCTATAATAAATTGTAGTATTTTCAATTTTTTATAGATATAATGAATAAAAATGAAATAGTTAAAAAATTACATTCTCAAGAATATAAATTATTTGAAAACAACTCATTGAAGAGCAAAGTCTGGGATTCTTTTAGTATAATAATAGACAATAATAATAAATTGGATATATTCAATAACATGCCAAGACATACTTTCATATTCACAAAAAGTAGGATCATCCCATTTATCAAGGCATAGATGTAAACCAAATCCTGAAATTAAATCATCTTCTTTTTATCCAATTAAAAATGATAAAGCATCATATACAAGTGAAAAAAAGGAAGTTATCAATAGATATGTAGAATTTTGTGCTGTAGATATTCGCCCATTTCAATGTTTAGCTGGTAAAGGCTTTAAACATTTAGCACAATATTTTATTGAAGTTGGTTCAAAGAGGGGTTTGATTGATGTTGAAAATATATTGCCAAGTCTTATAACTATATCAAGGCATATGAATGATATGTCTCAAAATTTGCACAAAAATATATTCCCAGAAGTACAAAATGCTTTAATAAATTCTTTTTGTAGTGCAACAACTGATTTATACACAGATGACTTTAAAAAATACACATATAACATTAACTCTTCACAACATAATTAAATAGAAATTAATAAAACGTGTTTGGTATACTTCTCTTTTTTTTGATCAAGGTAGCAACTTGATAAAGGCTTTAGAACTATATAAACGATTAAACTGTTCTGCTCATATCATTAACACTCTAAGAAATACCTTTTCTCTAAAATATTTGCAAATATCTACACCCCACCCTTATTATAAACCTCATTCTACAATGCCAATCACTAACTAGATATTTTAAACAAAGTGGATATAACAAGAATCTATCAAAGTCACTTTGAAGATGTTGAAATAAGATGGAATTCAAAATTATAAATGTTCAAAAGGATATTTTAGATTCCTTACAGAAATGAAATATGGAATACAAGCTAAATGCTATTGATAAAAGCACATTGAACTCCTAATAATCAGGCAACCAAAGAGCTTGAGAGGCATACAAAGCCTACATCATTTAAGTTTTATTAATTTATAAAAAATTGGCAAATTTACCAGTGTGTAATATTTTATATGATGCACATCAAAATAACAATGAAATTATAAAATTGAAATTAGGAGCTAAAGAATTTATAATATCTAAATGTTAATTAGATATTCTACACAAAATCGCAACATTTTTAATTCTAAAATTCCGCCAATTAAGAATGCTTACTTAAGAAGCACTAAATGTAAAAAATTCTGTTAGAGTATAATGAAAGATTATTCGGAGTATCAACCTATTCCTATATATGATCTGGATAAAGTACTTGACCCTACTTTAAGGAATGCTACCAAAGCTAAAAGTAACATATTTTTTATGAATGTTATCTATATAATATTTTTAGGTACATGTTCAGATCTGGATGAAGTGCAGGCCCCTATTTCGAAGAGTAAAACCAGAGTTACCAGTTATTTATTCTTTATGAAACTTTTTAGCAATATAATATGTTTACGTTTAGCTTCATCCTCATTAATGGATATGTCTTCATGAGAGGACGATACAATGCTTAATAATGAGACTGTTGCTGATGAGGTTAATTTATATTTGGATATTAAGCTTAAGGAGGAGGATATCAATTATGATAATCATATCCTAGATTGGTGGAAGAAGCATTAAAAAATTTTGCCAAAATTAGCAAGATTAGCCAAAACAATTCATGCAATTCCAGCATCAAATGCTTCGAGTGAACTAAATTTCAGCACTATTGGAAGAGTTATCGAAGAGAGAATGACAAATTTAAACAATGAAATTATTGACAATATATTATTTTTATATGATATTTTGAAAATATAAATTAAAATTTTGTTTATATCATTTATTAATATTATATATATACTAAATAAAATATTATATTACCATTAGTAATACTTCAGCATGAGTATTCATACATTAATTTAATGGACTTGGGTTGGGCTGAAATTTTTTTGAAATTTATTATGGGCTTGGGAATTTTTTTAACATTAATAGGCCGGGCCGGGCTTGGGACTAAAAAATTTTTTTACTGCTGGCCTGGGCCGGGCTTGGTCAAAAAATTAAGGCCCATGAAGGTCTCTGCCGTACCACTTACAATACAAATAGAAACGCTTTACTAGACACCGAGACGAATAAACTCGCTAAATATTCGCCATCTCTTCCTGCCAACTACACATTCCTACTACTAATCGCCACGACTCTACTATCGTACGGCTCTCATGCCCTGGCCTTCGCTGGTTTTTCTATCATTATAAAAATAAATAAATTAATAACTAAAATTGCGATAATAATAAAAAACATAACTAATGGCCTCACATCATACCTCCCTCTCTAAAGAAATCGGACCACCCCCTCTCCTCGTCCAGTAAGATATATTCCAGGAAGTAATCTAGGAAACTGAGCTGTTCTCCCTCTTCGGGCCGGGGGACCGTTGCCCGGAATAGCATTCCCTGGGGTTGCTATTGGTGGAATAGTTGAGAGGAGGAAGAAGAAGAAGGGGAAGAAGAAGGATGTAACAGTTGAAGAGAAGAAGAGACGGGAATAACTACATGGCTTAAACTTACTCTTCTTACCGGGAGAGGTGACCGGTTCCTTCTTTTTTCGGACGTCGACGATAACTGTAAGTTGAGGGGCCTGCTCGGCCCCTATCTCGAAAGGGCCTCGTTTCGTGAAATATTTTGATGTCCTCTCCACATAAATATTTGTCTTGATACGAAGCGTCGTTATTACTCGCCGTTTGCCAATTCCAATGGATGGCTAGGGCTAAAACCCTAATCCTTTTAGTCATTACGTCAAGCATCCTAGGATCTGAGTTAACGGACAGTAGCTCCAGTACGTCTGCTATGTGTTTGATCTAGTGCCGGTCACGGTCATTGGCCGGAGTTCTAGCAGATCCTGATTAAGTCCTGCCCAGACTTTGGTGAGCTTGGCGTAACGCTGTTCCGGTGTGAGAGGTGCCTGCGGGACGTCAAGTAAAGGTTGAGGCGGCGGAGTGGGGGCTCTTCTATTCCGTCGTCTCGGTGTCAACGTATGAGACGTAGACGGTGACCTCCAACATTTCCCCTGTTTAATCGAAATGTTGGATATAACCGAATACCTTGGCTTTTATAGCTTTGGAATTCCTAAGGCTTTTATTAATCAAAGTTTTTTATATCGAATAGTAATGAGAAAAATAACAATATTGTAAATATACAGTATTAATTTTGTATTTATGTAAATAAATAAACAGGGATGATTCGTTCTATGTATATATCTATAAATTTTAAATAGGTAATCTTACTTTTAAATTTTAATAACATATCAGCATCAGTAGAATGCTAGAAAGAGAGGGTCACTTTGTCGTAGCAAGAAAAGACACGAGCAAGGTTTTATTGCCTCAACATTCACCCATCTTGAAGATACTGGCAATAAGCAATCAAATTATGGTAGCACTGAAAATCTAGAGCAAGGTAATATTACGTCAATATCCTTAACAGTAAATTTTATACTCTTTTAAATTTTTAAAATATAAACTGATTAAAACTTATCAATAAATTATTATGGGTTTGGGAAAATTTTGTCAAAATTGTTACGGTCTTAAACTTTACTTAGGGTTTTTAAAAAAAATTAAATATGCCTAGCCCACAAATTTTTTTTATTGCGGTCCTAAATTCGGGTTCTGATAATAAAACTAAGACATATATAAATTTATTATTTTGATTATATTTTTAAATTCCTTATGATTTTTTAAAAATTTTTTATTCCAGTTACCATTGAACATTACTGTGTGTTGTTAAATGTTCTATGCTCATGTTGTAAATCAAAAATTTCGTTTCTGAAAAACAATTTGATGGAAAATTTTTAAAAATGCTGCCATAAAGTTAGTGTTTTATTGCCTTCTCTACAATATTCAGGATTTTTTAAAAGATTCACTTTCAAATTTAGACAATCTTCATTATAAAAATTTCTCTCATAATATTCGTTCATACAACAGTTTCTTGGCTTTTGCTTCTATAAGGGCTAAAAATGAAAATTTATTGAATAAAAGTCCATACTGTTTTAGGGTTCATGATCAAATTTACCATCGAACTTCACATTTATATTCTCCTAATGGAGTTTCCCTAATATATACACAAATTATATATTATTGAAACATCTCAGGCCATTGAAAATCGTTTACTTTTTAAAAGAAAATTCAGCCTGTGATATTCATTTATTAAAAAAAAATTTGATATTTTAATTCGTCAAATAAATCCATATGTTATTAGCTTTAAAACACTGAGTGAGGCTGAGGTTCCGAAGAAATGAAAGCTCGGTTAGGAAACCATCCTATATCAAAGGTAAATATGAATTTTTGCCGTGATCGTGCCAATGATAGAAGATTTATTATTCCTATTAATGGTGAAGTAGCAATGATTTTTAATAATTGCTTAAAGGTGCTAATTAATATTTTTTTAAGTGTCTAGAATTTTTTTTCATTATATATATATATCAAATTATTAGAAGTTATCCACCCAAACCCTTCTGTGGAAGGTCTTCGGCCCGATTTTGCCCAGCCTTCTACCAGGTTTATATCTATAGATTAATTAACATATATTTAATTATAATATATATGTATTAGCTAATCAAAATAATATCAAATTTTGAATCTAAGTCACTTTAACAACATGACCAATATAAAATTCTTAAAAAACCGTAATCTAAAAGCTTTTCTCTTTTAGATATTTATATCAAAAATTTAGAAAAATTTACCTCTTTTTAATTTTGAGTTTTTTTGTTCAAAATTAAAAAGGACTAATTTAAAAATGAACATTCAATTCATTAGAAAATAAGCACAATATTTCTATATTAGAAAATTAGCGCCCTTAATCTGAACCGCGTAGTTCGGTAAAACCCCATAAATTGATATTTCTCCTCTTCTAATTTAAATACTAACACTTTGTTGCATACCCAAAGCTAACCGCTAACGTGGTCCACAAATTTAGTATCAGACCTTAGCCTGAAGAGCGTAGTTAAGTAAAAACTAATAGATACTTATTGACTGTTTAGCTCCGCACAGCAGTTCTAAGTATCTGTTTGATTTTACCGAATTTAATGTGTTTGATGTATAATAAAATTAAGCATTTCTCATAATCTACCTATATGCCCTAGATTTCTAACACACAAATTTTAAAATTTGATTACACATTTTGTCTTAAAGAATTTGTATCATACATAGCATGGGAAATTACGAACCCTCACGAATTCTATAACACGTTATGGCATAACTATATATATTACTAAACATTCTAATTTGTCAATTTATTATTTTATACATTTATTTTAAATTTATCACATTATTTGCAAAGATAATTTATCTTTCAGGTTTTCAATTTTTAAAATGTTTTAATAATAGAAAAAAAAAAATATAATATCACTTGTTCATTTAAAAAAAAAGGATATTCTCTTTTCTAATCAGATATTTCGTATTGATAATCAATAAGGATTACAGGCTTTTTCTCTATTCCACCAATCGGATATTTTGTAAGATTTATTGGGGATATCCTTAAGATGCAAATGTTGACAGATTTGGCATAGATATTCATCATCTGGTCTTGGAACTATTTCATATTCTTTTCTCCAAGCGTGATATTTATCGTTAAGCTTGTCATCGGAATCTAATTTCAAAAGATAGTTAGCTAGTTCTTCTAAATTGTTGGAATGAAAATAAGGGTGATTCTTTGGTACCTCTTGATTAATATCTCGAATAGAAGGATCCTTTTGAGAAGATATATTTCCTATTGGTTTGATAAAAAAAATATAATACAGTTCATTATAAAATATAATAATTATTAGAGATGCAAAAAAAACATAATTTATTATTAATTTTTCAAAAATAAAATGAAATAAAATGTTGAGAAAAAACAGAAAAAGCAAGTTAAAATATCATTTCAAACAAAATTTTGTAAAGATTTTCAAAATATAATATTTTTTTAAAATAATTTATATAAAGGTTAATTTTTTCCCCTTAATATCACAAAGTGTAATGTAAAAATATACACTTCCGAGATAAATGGTTTTGTCATTACTAATAATCATTAATAATAAAATAACTAATATTTAGAGGGCAAGAGTGTATAATGAAATACATAATCAATTAACCATTTTAAGGATAAACGTGTTTAAAATGATGCTAAAAATATGTATTTTTAAAAAAGATAAAACCTAAAATGGTTTCGGATAGATCTCTCTACAAATTATGATATATATAATATTACCAACGACTTCGTTCGTTTTCATAGCCAGGGGCGAGGCGATGTAAATAAAAGAAAATGGGGGAGCTATCTTGACATAGTCAGAATATCGAGCCCCAAACACAACGGGTATTGCACCCGCGTAGAGCGCGCGAAACATTTTCTCGGTTATATAATGCTCGCAATTAGCATTTTCGAACGCCAAATAAAATTTATAGCTAGAGATAAAATTCCTCAAACAAACTTCCTTTTCCTTCATAGGCCCGTTATAATTACAGATCCGAAAGCCGTTACCGGAGAACTGTTTTGAACATCTACCATGCACTTCTAGACTACGAGCAGGCCGGGTGTTATTCCCTATAAAAGGAATACAAATAAAAAAAAGGTTCAATGATATATATAATAAGAAAGAGTAAGGTATGTTTTAAAAAATAATAAAAATAAAAATGCCCTTTACTCTCAACTCTTTCCTCACAAAAATATAACTTATCAATCCAAAATAATCCTTTCTAATAATATTAAATAAATACAATTCATCTTTATTCAGCATATATATAACATATAAACACATTAAATCTTCCCCAGTCAATCCCGTCTTCAATATCTCCACTCCAAATCCAAACAAAGAATGTTCTTTTCTAACAACAACCCATGTGATGATCACGTTTCCCTCTATCCCCAAGGAAACTTAATTCTCCTGTCAGAAAATAACTGACATTTTATGTATTATATTAAATTTATTTCTTCTTTTTTAACAGGTACAACACGCCCACCCTCACAAGCCCAGCGTCCCTCTCTCTGTGGTGGTGATGTATCGAATAACCCCTTTGAATTGTATCGAATCTCCCCTTTGAATTGTATCGGGACGCCTTGAAGACGTTCAGAGAATTTATCGAATCGTCTTCCCTTATGATGATTTATAATATAATATCTCCGATACATTTCTATATATAATCGCGAAAACACATATTATAAATAATGACATGTATATTGGGGTATCTGCATTTATAATCTATGGAGCATTAATATGGATAATGTAATATCAGCAAAACATAATAATTCATTCATTTTAAGACATTTGGGAAATAGGAGCTATAATATACATTATTTGGGTATGATTAATGGTAATTAGAATGATTTTACATATAATACTGTACTGTGAACACATGGTCTATGTGTGAAATGCAATTTCAACACATGTAATTGTCCTTCTGTCATATAAACAAAATCAAAGCTACATTTTTATAAATATCCCCTAAAATAGATATAAAAATCCATTTTTAGGTATTAAAAATAATTGTGAAAATTTGCGCGAAAACGACATATGTATAGAAATAAATTTAATATTTTATAGGGAGGAAAAATATATAATATGTAGAAAATACAATATTTTCCATCTAGGAATTACTCAGTATCCTAAGAAAAATATACCATTTCTACCTAACTCTGCCATTACAATTAGCACACATTCACAAAAATGTAGAATGCAAAGTAACAAAAATTAAGAATGTAATGGGCTATATGGTATATATGTAAAGAATTTTTAATATACCCTCACAATATAAAATAATTTGAGTCTTTTCTTTAAAAAAAATGTTCATATAATTAGAAAAAGTGATGTGCTATAAAATTATTACAAAGATAAAAAAAATGGAAAAACTTTCTCCAGTATGCAAACTAAACAATATTCCCACCTCAAGGCATACCCCTCAACATGGGCTGACCTTATCTGTAAAAATATTTTCCCTTCACATCATTGCATACCATAAAAATAATATAATAATTGCAAATAAAACTTTTTATAAAATTTTATAATTTAAAAAAAAAATATATGTATATTAAATATAGAGATTTCATAATTTAAAAAAAATAATTACACCTCATCTAATATATCATATAAATCCATACCCAATATATATATATCAAATTCAGGCACTAAATCAAAATAACTATCCACCTATAACATTATAGATATTATTCTGACTTCATCATACTTCAATTCCTTTAAATTATCATTCATAATTAAATATATCATATGTGTAATTCACATTACATCCTATTTCATAAAAATGGTTACTTACTTCAAAATAAACAACATTAACTCACCCTCAATAGATCACTTAATGATATATCAACCTTAATTAAAACTGAATTACATATACAATATATTAACATTAATTAATAATAAATTATCCCACATGTCCATCCCTTTAAAAACCCAAAATGCATAATTATATAACACATACTTTATTACAAAACTCCATTTCTATATATATTTTCATAAATTTCAAATATTTAATCCTTTCTGTCCTACTGATCTTGAGGTCTTATCTTCCTATGACGGAATACCTATAACACCATTCAACGAGTCTTAAAGCGTACCAAATAATAAGACAATACTTATTGTCAAACATTGGATGTAAAATATACATCTAGACATATAATACCACAAATATTGTTGTCTTAAATGGCCAAAATGAAGACATCTAATACTACAAATATTATTTTCTTAAATGGGCCAAAGTGAATCAAATATCATTAACCAATAATTAATCATTTTATTTTAATTTTCAATCCTAATACTCATTACATACTTTCTATTTTAAGCTTTGTAAGCTAAATATTTAAGATAAAATTATAGAAACCCTTAAACTCACCTCTTAATCTCACTTACCCTTGTATAGTTTTTAGTACTTGCGTTGTGTACCTAAATCCATATGTTGTCGATCCTGGTCACGGCACCATTTTTGAAAAATAATAAAAATAAAAATGCCCTTTTACTCTCAACTCTTTTCTTAAAAAAATATAACTTATCAATCCAAAATAATCCTTTCTAATAATATTAAATAAATATAATAAACATTACTACAATTCATCTTTATTCAGCATATATATAATATATAAACACATTAAATCTTCCCCAGTCAATCCCGTCTTCAATATCTCCACTCTAAATCCAAACAAAGAATGTTCTTTTCTAACAACAACCCATGTGATAATCACGTTTCCCTCTATCCCCAAGGAAACTTAATTCTCCTGTCAGAAAATAACTGACATTTTATGTATTATATTAAATTTATTTCTTCTTTTTTTCAACAGCTACAACAGTATGGTTAGATAATTATTAGTAATTTAAAATCAAAACCCGAGTAGCTAATATTTAGGACATCGTCTAAAAGAAAAACAAAAGAGTTAAATAAAGGAAATTATAAAAGAAACACTTTTAGCGATTTAACAATTTTTTTTTGGTAGTTCGTCATCAAATTTTAAGAAAATCATTAAATACAGAGCCTACAAATTTTTTTTTATTCAACTAGTTGTTAAAATTTTGACAGCCCCGCGTTTGTCGTCTTTTTATATAAAAAATACGATATGATTTCGCGGCTTGTAAACAATGTGCGCCTATGGCTACGTGTTTTGGTGTAAATAAAAATAAAAAAAACTAAATATAGGAAGGAATGAATAAGAAAAAAGAATTAAAATAATATTTTTTTGATCTTAAGTAATTAATCTATATAGTTAGATTAACAATAATGGTAGGAAATTGAGATCTCAAAAAACTCTGACTAGTACAAAGGATAGTAACAACAATAGTTTCTCCTTTAGGACACACCATATAGCTTAACGACAACATCCAAAGATTGGAATATTTACTAATACATATAAATCATCTATTTTTTAAATAATCGCAAAGGTACATTATTATTATTATTGTTATACTATTATTACATGACATTTCAACTTTAACCACTATTCTGTCGACAACTAAACTAACCATTATACTGTCCCCAACGGACCTATTATATCACTACTATACTTATTCCTTTCTTTTTTACTATGTGAGCTGACAATATATACCGGGACATGCGCTATACTAAAACGGTAGATATCATGTAAGGCATCTATGTATTAGTGAAAATACACGAAGCAGGCTTCAATTCCTGGTGAGTAATGTGTACAATTTTAAAATTTATTATTTAAGCTATTAATATTTAATTAGAAAATAAAAAAAATTATAACGTTAATATTTTTTGGCCCAATTCTATTAATAGTGTTACAGCCAGCTCGGGCCTAGGGTCCGGCCCTGCAGGATTCTAGTATATGCATATATAATTAAGATCAATAAATAATTAAATTACTTTTATTTTGGATTGACCTGATATGATTCTGTATTTCTTTGATATATTCTAAAATATATATATTTTTTAAAATGAATATATTCATATTACTCTTTCTTATAAAAGTAAAAAAAAACAAAAAATATTTAATAAAGAAGTAGTCCATTTAAAGGGTGCAATTATGGCATCTCATATTTTATTTTTAAAATGTACAAGACCAGGTGGTCTTACAAATATTCCGTTGTTTAGAGGAAAACATATTATTTGAAATTTTATCTGTGCCTCATAGTTCTCCTCCAACCCAAGCATTGACTATGAGCCAGTAAGTCTAAAATCAGAAAGATGTCACAACTTGGGATTTTCATTTTACTTCAATATTTATGAGTACTTAGGTCCAGTAGACTATAATGTTTTTAAAATTTTAGTAAATTATTTTCTCAAATCAGTGGGGATGATGAATCCTCTTTTAAAATTTAAAAATCAGCTCAAATATTTGTTTTCTGAAGTTTCCTTGGAACTTAATTATGGACTTTTAATCCTTTACATTATCATTTTTAAAATATCTTATTGAATAGTATAATATGGACTTTTAATCCTTTACATTATCATTTTTAAAATATCTTATTGAATAGTATAATATATTAAATTTTTTTTTAAAAACGTCCAAAAAAATAATATTCGAATGATTAAGTTAACTTATATCTACCTTAGCTTAGTGTAATAAATGCTTTTATAAATCTATAAAATTAATATCATAAAACTAGATAATGTATATAAATAGTTTATATTTGCAGCATTTGTTGTTTTGCAATTTATTTAAAAACCATATTTGAAATCCATAGGTATTTGCAGGTTATCTAAGCATTTGTAAATTAGTATAGAGTCTGCTATTCTAACACAGCTCCAACCACATAATTATCCTTCGTAATTTATTTTTACATTTTTCACCTTTATTAATTTTTATCTTAGAAAAAGTTAATTATATACTATTACCTTTTGAAACACATTATATCAGCTGCTATTCAAATAAAGTAACCAATGACCGTTAAAAAAAATACGACTTGTACACCAAAAAACTGATCTTGATTTACCATATCAATTAACTCAATTTACATATGATCAAATAGATTCAAAGGTGAATGAATCATTCAGCGCAATCAAAATTAAAAATCCTACTTTAAGGGACTGTACAGAAAATTTATATATAATAAAAGAAAAGAAAATAACTTCAAAAAAAAAATAAAATAAATAAACTTACCGAGTCGGTGATTAAATGAAGCACAATTGCTCATAACACTGATAGCCAATTTTTTTTTGTTTTTCGAATACACTTTATAATTGACGGAATGTTTGTGAGTCGATTTTTTGATATCGATTCCCAGATAAGCATAATATGGTTTATAGATATCAGATTGTGGCAAATATGTAATTGTCCAGTTGAAAACATAATCGTATTTGTCTAGTTGGTAAGGTAACTCCGGTTCATTTGAGCATGTGAGAATAGGGGATTCCTATCATTTTTTTAAAAAAAATAAATATTATAAATAAATAATCATAAAAAATTTGATACATCTATTTTATATATAAATAAATTGACGTTACACTGTCATGATCATCAACCAAAGTCAAGTTAATTTATGTTTTCCTGTCACATATAGAATATCATATTTAAATTTTAAGAGAATAATCAATGTGTCACGTTATATAGCGACAATCAATCAATGTCATGTCATATATTAATCATTTATAAAAAAAATTAAGTTTAGCAGATAATAAGACTGTATTTTTTTTTTAATTAATAAAATGTAACGATTATTATTTTACCATAACCATATAAACATTTTAAAGGTCTACTAGGTTATAAATATGGGAGTGATGGACTCAAAGCAAAAATAAAGATTAGAACTTCAGACATCTGTAGGCTTTTGCCTCGATCCCAAGCTGAAAAAAATATTTTTAGGTTAATTATTTTTTCTGACAGGTTACTTAGTTAGGGAAGTTGGGAAATGTACTATTAACTTCTATTTAAAAAAGAATGTTTAATAAAATTTAAACGCTGTCTAAAAAAAATGGTGTATAAATGAAATTAATTCGTGTAGATATTTAGGGAAGGGACTCCTTTTCTATTTATACATTTGTTTAATATATCGCCCAAGCAATTTTTTAACAACAGAAAAATATTACAAGCTAGTATAATAAGACCTATCAGAAAAGTGAGAAAAATTTACGATCCAATGACTTTACGATAATAGTTAGTCATACAGCTTTTTAGTGTTTGTGGTGCGTTCACAGTTAACGCTAATTTTCGGAGAAATTTACAAAATATGATATAATTTTTGATTATTTCGCCTCGAATTCGCGTTAACGATGAATGTAGGGTTTAGAGTGCTCCACTTAAATATAAATATATATTTTTTAAATTTAATTTTATATCCTCATTTGTTTTTTTAAAAAATATTTTTAATTCAATAGTGCATACATCCTATTTTAAAATAAAGTATCAAGTTTAAAAAAAAAAATCTCAATAAATAAATTTTGAGAAAGTTTAAACTAGAGGTTTTCAAATGGCAAGATTTTCAGGCCCGGCCCTGCTGCTATTTGGTTTCTGCCCGGCCAAGCCAAATTTGACCAGGCTCGTTTCCATTTTTTTTAACTATAATTATCCGGCCCGCGCCAGATTTTTTGAATATAACTAACCCAAAATATATGTATAGTTACAAAATAAACAACTATTTATAATATTGGGGAGTACTTAAATTGGAAACGCTAAACTTCATGGATTATCACTTTTATCAAATATCAGAATTCATCAATGATCATCCAACCCAATAACTTTTTTGCTCGCTCTGGCCCAAATAAATTTTTCAAGATTTTACCTAGCCCTGCCCGGCACAAACCTTTAATTTAAACCATATTTTTTTTAAATCCGACAAATCTTCTTACATAAATTAATATGATTATATGACATTTATAAAATTAGAGGACATGCAGATTCTTGGTCCAAGGAACTTTAGTCCATTTTAATTAATACTTTATTTGTATTAAAACGAATGCAAATCCCAAAGGTCTCTTAATCATAAAATTAGTGTTGTTAAAAACCCCGATAAAGATTTTAGCCAAAATAATATTATGTATAAGTCTGGAAATTATGCTCATAGATGACAGAAAGGTGTGGATCATTTATTTGCCATATCTCGAAGCTGACATAATATTATTTTGGCTAAAATCTTAATAGGGCCGTTTTTAAAAATCAAACCCAAATCGCACTTTTTAACAAACACTACATAAAATTAAGTATATGTAACATTTTTTTTTCTCTTACAATCATAAAAAAAATCCATATTTGATTATACGAATGATTAAATGGCAATTCACGAAATTCCATATCCCTTAAATGGAATAATAGAGCATCCGAAATTGACAATTGACTTTTATCGGTTGAGATCGCGCATGAAGAATATTTACAATTTTTAAATGGGTTTTGTCTTAGATCCTTAATTGACCATGTTTTATCATAAAAATACGGTGTCCATAGTAATATATTCTTCGTTTTATCAAATGTTATATTCGTTATTAGAGATATGTTCTTGTGAGCCCGATATTTTGATAAGTTATATATGGTTCGATTTGGTATCAATTTGGCAATATTGTAATAGGTGGAATAATAATATGAATTTTCTTGTAATTTTTTGTTGACATCTCGTATTAGATTTGACGAACGATTAAAAATATTTTTATTTTGATAAAAAGATGTCGTAAGAAATATTCCAATTATTAAATAAAAATATTTTTTTAAAACTAAAATACTTTTATTCATCGAAGAATTTTATTTAATATGAAAATATAAAAAAGAATGCGTGAATTATTTACTGATTAGAGAAGAGATATATGTTTGATTTTTAGAGCCCAAATTTGATAAGTTATGTATGGTTAGAGACTTGGTATCATTCGAATATATTGTATGAGGTGGAATAATAATATGAATTTTCGTGCAATTTTATGTTAACATCTGATACTAGATTTGATGAACAATTAAAAATAGTTTTTATTTTGAAATAAAAGGTATCTGAGAAATATTCCTAACAAATAAATAATCTTCTTACTCATTAAACAATTTATTTAATAATGATTTTAAAAAAATTTGAAGTTTTTTCGGAGAATTTAGATACAAAATAAATTCATCTTATTTATTATTGTATTAATATTTACATTTTAGTTAAAAACAAAATTTTATATTTTAAATATGCAAGGTATGCAAGTTTAACAAATTGTAAGAAAAAAATTTAATAAAATCGAACTCAAACAAGATAAACCTCTGCCATTCCCTGATTGAAAAAAACCAAATATTTTGTTCTCTTATCCGCCTCTCTAACAACTTCTCAAATACCTTTATGGCATATTCTAAGAGTTTTAATAGGCTCTATTGCAATTAAAATCGTCTTTCCCTTTGTATTCTGGAATAATTACACTTATTCGCCAACGCTGGAATAGTTCCTTTTATGACAATTAGATTGCATAAATTCGTTAGCCATTCAATCTCCAAGTCTTTAGAACCCCTTAAATATTTATGTTATTACAGCTGCTTCCCCCCTCCCCCCATTTTTTTTCGTCCTTGCCAAATCTACATTCAGAACCTTCCACCCTTGCGAAACTGACTTCATTATCCCATTCATTCTCTTAACTCAGAAGTTCTTATATGTAGATCTTCCAACTGTTCTTAATTCCACTACTATCAATAACAATTTGCTAAACAAATTTTGAACTAAGGCCCCCTCTTTTGGTTTGTAAAGAAAGAGACTTAATAGCCATCGAACAGTTAGCCCCTTTTTTGAGGTATCCTAATTGTTCTTAATTTTTGCTTTAATTCTAAATAGAGCGAAAATTGAACAGTAACTATTTCTAAATAATCTTTTATGCTCAAAAATAAAGACATTTACTGAAGAACCAATAGAATTTTTCTTTCTAAAGCGAAAAAAAAAATGTAATTAATATCAAATATTATGATCCATTTTTTTTTGAGAACTCAACTAAAAAAAATAGTTTGCTCGTGATATTTTAAACGTAAGATATTTATATGTTTTTGTTTATATATAGTAGATATTATTATTTTTTTTATTATAATGTTACATTATGATATTTTACTTAATAAAATCAAAATATTTAACTTTTGATACTATTTATATAATTTTATCTTATAATATCCATTTATATTATTATGAAAATAAATAAATTTGATCTTTAAACAAAATAGAGTGAGGAGCGAGGCCTTTGTAAAGGGAGGAATTTTAATTTCGATATCAATGTGGGTTACAATCTCTTTCTCTATTCCACCACTCCGATATTTTATAAGATTTTTTGGGAATGTCCTTGAGATGCAAATGTTGACAAATTTGGCATAGATATTCATCATGTAGTCTCGGTAAGATAACATACTCTTTTCTCCAAGTGTGATACTCACTGTAAAGCGTGGCATTGGAGTCTAATTCTAACAGGTATTTCGCTAGCTCTTCCATATTGTTGGAATGAAAATAAGGATGGTTTTTTGGTATCTCTTGACTAACATTTCGTGTGGATGAGTCCTTTTGCGATTGATTCCCTGGTAGTATAGATAGGAAAAAAAATATCTAATATTTTGCAATATACCCTATTTTAGTGTTTGTAAAGCCCGATTTCGGCGATTTTTACAAAAGACCTCAATAAGACTTTAGCCAAAATAATACACAAACATCAGGATTTAGAAAATAGATGTCCAAATCTTTCTACTATCTAGCTTACTAAAATTCGACACAAATTGGTCTTTTTAACAAGACTAATCCGATTCTTTTAAAGGATAAAAAAAAATAGAAACAAAATAATAAACATTTTAAGCCAAACATGCTTAAAGAAAAACGTAAATAATATTTATTTTTAAGGAGACCCCTAAAAACCTCAAAATGATGACAGATAGCTACGATCCCTTTAAAAATTACATTACGGTATTTGTATAATATAAATTTAAAACAATCAATCACTCAGTCCGTTGTTATTGCCAAGGGCCAGACCATACAAATAATAGAAAATGGAGGTGATATCCTGATTTATTCAAAATATCGATGGATCATTTTGAGATGATTGATTCCCTATTAGTTTGACCAAAACGTGCTTGAAAAGACGTAAAAAAATATGTATTTTTAAAGAGACCCCATAATAACCCAGAATAATCTCAGGTAGTCATGATTTCTCTGCAAATAATTATGATATGGTGTGTAATATAATATGTTGAATATAATATTATTACCAAAATCTCCGTTCATTTTCATGGCCAGAGGCGAGGCAACGTAAATAAAAGAAAATGGGGGAGCTATCCTGGAATATTCAGAGTATCGAGCTCCAAACACTACGGGTACCGCACCCGCGTAGAGCGCCCGAAACATTTTCTCGGTTATGTAATGTGCGCAATTAGCATTTTCGAACGCCAAATAGAATTTATAGCTAGAGATAAACTTCCTCAAGCAAACTTCCTTCATAGGCCCGACATAATCACAGATCAGAGATCCGTTACTTGAACATTTGCCATGCACTTCTAGAGTTGGAGCTCGTCCGTTGTCTTTCCATATAAAAATTAATAGATAAAAGATTGAAAGATATATATTTAAAATAGAGATGAATGAGGATGGTTTATTGATTATTGCCATTTCTCGAATTCCTCAACTGTCAGTGAAAAAAGAGCTCGTGTAGCTGATAGCTAGGACATCGCTTACAAGGGCATATGAGTTATGAACATTATCAGGGCAAATGGGGGAGGGGGGTTAACAATTAATTTTTTTTAAAGGAAAGAAATATGAGGAAATATGAAGTATTTTCAATGATAGGATTCAAATGTATCAACTATAATTTTGACAAATAAATAATAAATCCCTTATCTACTAAATTTAAACGATAATTTATATATATATCTAAAGTTTTAAATCGTATTCCACTAAGTTGGGTTAAATTTAAAAATTACTAAAGTAACTTCGCATAATTCCCAGTGCTGTATTTTATACGATACCTTAACACTTTGTCTTTATAAATTAAAATATTTTCAGCGCATCATTTATATACGTAGTTGCTTTTATAATTTTAATTTGTGGCGCAGTTGACATTAATTGTAATGCACAAGGGGAGATTTTTTGCATCGCTTACTCGTGATAGTATTTTTTTTAAAAAAATTTTCTTTTATACTCAGGGCAAGTTAAGGCGAAAAATAGTTTTATGCAGAATCATATGATCGATTTTTGAATAGTGTACATCGAAAGGTTTAAGGTTATTTGATTTTTTTAAATTATTATACTGGATATCGACTAGAGAGAGCATTTTTCTAAGGAAGAGATGGTTTATGGAGTAGGGGGAATAAATTGATTTTGGTATTTTTCGTTTTCTAACTCTTTTTAAATATTTAATATATATTTTAAACAATACTAAATTTGTCCCTTTTAGAAGGTTGAAAAAATAAATAGTATTAATAAATTAATATTTTATAGGCTAAAGAGAATCAATATTAAATAAAGAGAAAATTACAGTAATTCTTTTGCATATGGACATTGGGATATTAAAGACTGAGGAAAACCTATTTTTTAAAAAATAAGAATCAAAATAAACAGTCAAAAGATAAATGCATTCCCTAAAATTATTGAAAGGGTTAAAAAAAAAAATTAAAATACGATTTACTTTAGGAATGCCGAAGCTGGCTGGATTTCAGGTTAATAAAGCCGAATTAATTTTAGGCTTTTTATTTGCAGAAAAAATAGCCATCGAGCTTTAAAAAACAAGTTTTGACTAAAGAAGGTACCCAAAGGCATAAGGCAATTGAGTAACCTATAAACCTATAAGTGACTCATTTTGGCAAAGTTTATTTCTGTATAGAATAGGTCGTTAAAATTTTGGCAGTCCAGCACTGAGTACAATAAGTTTTTGTCGTCTATTTATTGAAAATAATACAATACGGGTTTTCGCTCGTAAACTATGTACATACCAACGATACACAATTCACTTTTTCTTTCAAAAAAAGATAAGAAAAGAAAGATAAGGGAAGTTATTTTAAAAGGTTTTTATACCCGAGTTTACCTAAGTTGGGCCATTATTTTCAGAGCCCCGAACTGTTTCTAAAAGCTGATTTTTTTCAGTGTATCATTTATACATACATAGGGCTGGCATGAGGCATGGGGTTAACGAGAATTTTGTGGGAGGAGAGGAGGAAAAAAAATTGATACACTGTTTTAAAAATTTTTTTTTATTTTGATATATAATGAAGGCAAAAAAAAAGAAAGAATAAAAAAAAATGTAACGTTAATATATTGTGAGCCATATGCCTAATCGAAATTCTATTAGTGATGGGCCACGAAACGGTCCCGCTGGCTAACTCGTTATTTTTATCCAGAAAAATATTGCCCAAACTTTAAGATTTCATAAATAGATGTCCAAACATTTGTGCTATCTATGAACCATATCTTCAGACTCTTGCCTAATATTTTTCTGGGTATAATATTGAGTTAGCCCTTTTTAAAAATCGGCCCAAATCGAGCCGTTTAACAACTCTACTACGCTGGACTCTAGTATGAATATGTATCATTAAAATAAAGATGTGATAATTATTACTTTTATCTTGGATTGAGGAAATGTGATTTCGGATTTCTTCGATATATTCTGAAAAATATTATTTTTTTTTTGTTAAAATTGAGTATATTTATACTCTTATAAAATTAAAAAAGATAAATAATTAACCTTTTTTGTATATAAAAAAAAAGTAAGAAGTATTAATCGCATTTCATAAAAAGAAATTAATATTATTTATATAATAAAACATCTTTACATTTAACTCGGATTAAAATAGTTATAACTTCCGTTATTGCTAACTAAATTTGAAAGCCTCCCCCCCCCCTCAGAAGCTTATCTGTCATAATTTTAAAATTTAGGTATAGTTAGTGAAGGTCGTAGTTGGGTCCGTTTTGCCCCCATGGAACCAATTTTCAAAAATTAAACCGAACGAATTTATTTACCAAATGGACCACAATGTAAAGACCTAATCAGATTTTGGTTTTGAACGAATTTTTTATTTTGGTTTTGAATCAGAATTAAAATAAATAGGGAAGAATAATATTATGTAATAAAAAAATGAAAATTTTCATTTAATTAGCAAATATCAATATAATAATAAAGAGATGCTAACTTCGATCCAACAATTATTGGAGTCAAAAGAAAAAAACAAAGCAGGCGCTTAACAGTCCCTAAAATAAAGAATATAACTTTTCTATTTTATTTTTGAAAACCAATCATAATTATATTAGAAAACATTTAGGTGAATTTAGAGTAAAAATTTATTATCGCGCACTTATTAAAAGTCCCTTGGTCTGGTAGAAATAAATGTATTTATATTATAATAATAATATCATCTTTATAAAGATTATATTGTTAGATAGATTCTAACATCTTACACGATAATCTATTTCACTACTTTATTTTGTCTAAATTTTTTTACTCTCATAGGGAAGGAATAGAAGTTAATTAATGATTTATATTTAGTTTGCTAATATATAATGTTACCTTCCGGCACAGACCTAACCCAAGACCACCATATATTATATGAAGACAATATATAGGAAAAAAGAGATTATCATATGTTTAATTAGGCTATTTTCATTTTTGACTGAGCCTTTTTTTTTTATATTTTAGACGGATTTTTTTCGAAATTTACTTTTTTTTAGTTCAATAAAAATTGTGGATCGTACATTGACAGTTAGTAAATTAATTGTTAAGCTTTGTTTATATACAAAGAAATATAATCTTATACAATCACAAATATCAAATTATAATGAGAGATTCAATGAAAAACAATTGCAAATAGTCAACTAGAAGACTAAGTAGCCACGGTTCTACCCAAACCGAGTGAACCGTCTCGCTGACCTTGAATAGTTAGATCTATCCCTTGATATAGGTTTGATTAAACTGAAAATGCCGCAGTTAATAAGTTATTTATATACTCAACTAAAGAAAGTAAGAAAGAAAGAAAGAAAGAAAGAAAGAAATAAAGAAAGAAAGAAAGAAAGAAAGAAAGAAAGAAAGAAAGAAAGAAAGAAAGAAAGAAAGAAAGAAAGAAAGAAAGAAAGAAAGAAAGAAAGAAAGAAAGAAAGAAAGAAAGAAAGAAAGAAGTTCTGATTTCTTTTTCTTATAATTTAAACAAATCGTTAAAAATTAAATTACTGGATGTAAATATAATTATTAATAAAATGATATATAACAATAATTATGTTTCATTTAATCTAATAATAAATTTTTTATAATCCTTAAATGTGATTATATTCAAAATAATTAGAACTAGAAAACTATAATATTCGAATATTTGTATCGCTAAAAGGCGTTTATTGTTTTTAAAATAATATTATATAAAAAATGTTAGGTGCTTTGCATTGGTAAGCAGGGGGGGGGGGGTAGGGGGACAACCCCCCTTCCCCCCCTTCCCCTTCAAAGTTAAAAAATGCAGATGCCGGATATATTTTTCAAAAATATTATTGTTTATATTCATTTATATTTTATTATATTTATTCCTATCTTGTTCTTTTTAAATTTTTATATTATTACCTTTTTCATTTCTAATTTATTTTATCAATTAATTTCATTTTCAAGTTTTCCTTGGCGTAATATTTATCTATTATTTTTAAATTTCCCGGTATTATATTTTTTCACCATTTTCAAATTTCTAGTCATGGATATTAGACTTTTTTTTAAAAAAACACTGAAGATAGTGAAAATCATACCATAAAGCAAAAAAGTATAGTATAATAATTTAATATAATTTATATTTTAAAATATTTTTAGCAATTAAAACCCCTCCCATAATAGCAAATAATGAAAGAATTGTTGAAAGAATAATTGAGAGTCAGGATATAGAGCCATCTAAAGGTTAGTTATTCTAAAAATACATTTGGGCAGTTTTATAATAACTTAGCTGGTATTATTTAATAAATAATAATTTTAGTATTTAATTTAGTAAAAGAATGAGATTGCAACAATGTGCAGCAATAATCTTCTTAAAAATAATTTTAATTTACATCTCAATATTTAGACATAAACTTAAAACTAAAATCATTATAAAAACTAGAGTACAATGATCATCCATATGATATAGCACATTTTTTAGATAAAGATAATATTAGCCTAGAAGAAAGACATATACGTCTTAAAAAGGTATATATAAAAGATACCTATGATAAATATTTTATTTAATAATAGATTTATATTCCACCCCTCAATTTGCAATATCACAAAACTTTATGTGCTAATCGAAAGTTAAAATTTCAAAATAGCTATTTTACTAGATGGTTATGGCTAGTATACTCCAGCCAAGATGGTGGAGCTTATTGCAAGATATGTGTCCTGTTTGGACCACGATATGCTGGTAGAAATCTATTTAAGCTTACCAATCTGCAGATATTACTTCCGCAAAAGCCCTTTGAACCTTTTTCAGATGGTGATAAAAAATAAATAAAATATTTATCAGATTTTTATCATGAAGAGTTAATGTATCTCATGATGCTTTATTAGCTGAATGCCAACTATGGTATAAAAGATTAACTATGGTTGATATAGTCCCAAAAAATGCTATGGATGCTTTGCATCATTTCAAACATCTTTTAGATTATTTTCCCAATATATTGAAATTATTATATATATTAGCAACTCTTCCCATTAGTACTGCAACTAATGAAATAACATTCTCTTCTTTAAGAAGATTAAAAACGTACTTAAGAATTACAACTTCTGAAAGTAGATTGTTTGAATATTATCTCAATTCCAACGAAGATTGGATTTTATATTATAAAAATATAATGTTTCTATAATATTTTTTGTGCAATCATTTTTTAATGTCTTATATATTTTTCTTTTACAAAAAAAATATAATTATTCATATTTCCAACATTTAAATTTTTTATATTTTATATATAAATTTTAAAGGCTCAAAAAAATTTAAATTTTTATTATGGGTTATTTATTTTATAGTCATTCATATCCTGGTTATATCCACTTAATATTTTATAAATCAGATTTATTTAAAGTATTTATATGCCACCGGTTATATCCGTTTAATATTTTTTAATTCAAATTTATTTTTATATACCGGTTTATATATTTAATTTTTTATAATTCATATTAATTTAAATTTGTGTATTAGAAATAGTTATTAGTCCTAATAAATTTATGCTTGATATTTTTAAATAACATTAATTTCATTTTTAAAAATTTTAATTATCCCCCCCTCCCCTCCCTCACACCAAATTCCTGCGTACGCCCATGGTGCCTTGTATATTATTCATCAAAACATTAAAGTAAACACCCCTAGAAATAAATATTTAAATATCTCACTATGTATGAAATCAGTTGCCAACAACTATAAACCTAGTTTTAACTTAACCCCCAAGTTTATTTACTTACGCTTATAATGCAGCCAAAACATCAAAAGAGTGTTGATAATTGCAACCTATAACCTTTTTTTTTTGCTATCTCCCTTTGATAATAATACTTTCTACTTAAGATTCCATCAAAATTTTTCCTATGCATTACATTCATACTTATCGACTTTTCAGAAAGGGAAATATCATGAGCAATTAATTCCACCCGCAAGGAATAATATGGAGGCCTCAACGGAAAACGTCCAATCTCATAGACCTTAACTGAACATTCTTAGTTCAGATCTGCGGATGGATCGAGTGAGAAGGAAAAACTATGCCTACACCAAAGCATCCCCACCTATATCATCCCCACCCATAATTTTTGGGGCTGGCCTCATTGCACTTAAAAAAACAAATATGAATTCATTTTATTTAAGCTAATAATAAACATGTTGTCTTACCTTACCTCCATACTAACATAGATCAAATAGTATCACAAGTGAATGAATCAGCCGGTGATATAAAATTATAAATAATAAAAGAAAGGAAGACCCTGTTAAATTTTATAGAGAGGTCATCGTGTTTAATGTAATATTTTATAGAGATTATCGGGTTTCATATATTGTTACTAATTATCATAAAGATACTATTTATTAAAATATTATTTGAATATGAAAGTGATTGTATTTAATTTAAATAATAGAGGTCATTTAAATGGAATAATTCCATTATATATATAGAGCGCTGTTAATAAAGTTATCTTATATAGATTAAGGATTATTAGAAATAAAAAGAACCTCTTTATAAAAAAATATATACTCACTATGTCGATTATTATGTGCATGACAGTTGCTCATAATACTTATAGCTAAACCTTTTTTGCCCATAGAATACATTTTATAATTGCTGGAATGATTGGATTCCACTTTTTTAAATTCGATTTTCAGAGTGTCATAGTATGGTCTGTAGATATCCGATTGGGGCAAATAAGTAATGGTCCAGTTGAAGATATAATCATATTTGTCTAGATGGTAGGATATATTTGGAGAATTTGAACAAGTTAAAATAGGAGATTCCTATCATATTTTTTTTGTATTATAAGTAAAAATTTTTTTAAAAAAGATTTGATAATATTTATAAATAAAAGAGTAAAAATAAATAATATTTTCTGTTCATAGAGCATACGTTTTCCTATATATTAAGAATAATCAATACGCCATGTTATTGTGACCATAAATTAATGTCTAGTCACATCTCAATTTTTTTTGTTAAAGTAAAAAATAATAATATGTAATTTGTTATATTTTTTGGAATGTAACTGTCAGAAGTAACTAGTTACTTAAAATTTTTTTTTTATATATCTTTTTAAATATATTCAAATTATTAACTTTATTTTTATGTTCATAATAAAAGTAAATTTAAATTAAATTAATTTAAAATTTGATTAAATGTCTGTTTATAGTGATATGTTATGTACATCTTTTTAGGAGCGAAAGGGGTGGTTGAGTGTTAAGTAGGATTTTTTTTTATTAGATTAAAATGCAAATAATTTCTGAGCCCACCTCCCCTACCCTGGCTACGCCTATGTACAGAATAATTATGATATGAATTCTGACTAGTTATTTGATACGAATGACATTCAAATGATTTAGAATGAAGAAATAGAAATTGTATCATCCCCATACTACAAATATCACCAAAAAGATGTTGATTTTGTTTAGAACACTTGTATTGAGCCAAGAAGATTGACCTGGTAACCACAAAACAACTCATCGAGTCCGCAAACTTCAGTGCACCGGATTTTCCACAAAAATCTTCAGCTGAAATGGTTTAAAAGAAACAAAAACAGAATCTAAACGCTGTGAATAAGATTTACCAGTCTGGTACGTACCAAATAACTTTTACAAAAATACCCTCAATGGTTAGTTCATTTCTTTTGGATCACTGATGAAAAGCTGTTTCCAGTGACTCCAACAACAAATCTGCAAAATAATAGGGTCTACTTTGCAGTTTTAATGAGAGATGCAGCCAATCGATTGTTTCTACAATATTTAATTCAGATTAATTTTGAATGTTGATGTTTTCATGTTTCCGAATTGTTGTGATGCATGATAAAAAAATATATTTTTATATGTTAAAAAGTTCTAATTCATTTGTCCATTGGATATGCATAACCTCGAACCCCGTTGATAGAATTTGAAGAAATTGCAGAAAACTGATAAATTTATCCTATTTTTAGAGTGATTATTTGAAATTTGCTTTTGTCAAGGGTTTTTATATTTTAAAAGTTGAATAGAGTGTTGTTAAACAGCTCGATTTGAGCCGATTTTTAAAAAGGGCTAACTCTATATTTTAGCCAGAAAAATATTGTCTAAGCCTCGATTTCGCTAATAGATGTCCAAACCTTTGTGTCAACTATGAGCAAAATCTTTAGGTGCATAATATATTTCTGAATAAAGCATTGATTTAGCCGTTTTTAATAATCGGCTCAAATAGAGCCGTTTAACAACACTAGTTGAACATAATTTTAAGTATTATAATTTTATATATATTATAAATAACTAAATTTTATATGAAATATATTAATAATTATTTTTTTATTATAATAATTTATTTAATTTATATTTAATGTTAGTATTTTATTTATCAACAAATAAACATATTATATGTTATATATTTTTTATTTATATTATCTTTTTCTTTTTTTAATAAAATTATATTTATGTTTAATAATATAAAAATGAACATTGAAAAGTTATTATATAAAAATTATTCATTACGCGATTAAAATTATAAAATATATTCTAATCATCATGTGAGATGAGGCTGCCAATGAAGCTGATGTTATTGGCCCTGTGAATTGCTATTGCGAGTCTTTGTCTTAAGAAGAAGCCTTCACGAGGTTCATCTGTTAGTTTGCGGATTAGCGATCCAAGTTCCTTGAAGAAAGAAAGAGCACGATTCCCAAAGGTAGTCAAGGTAGTGGAAATGATGGGAATGAATAAGTGATCTTGGGATATCTCTGAATATTTTGCAATTTTTAGAAATGAAATATATTAATAATTAAATGACATTTTCATCTCGTCCAGATTGGCAAGCTCCAAAATAATAACTGATCACCTGACCTTGCCAGATATACTGCTTGACAAAGGCTATGTCATATTTCAAACCTCAGTCGGAGATGAATGTCAACCACAAAAGGATTGGGATAATCCGATGATTGCAAGGTCCGTTGATTACATCTTTTCGACACTGCGATCTGAAGACCATGCCCTATTATCAACCAAGGTTCAGGACATAAATATTTGGATGCCATCCCCTCTAAAAATCTTGATCTCGAACTTTCAAATCAAGAATTCAGTTTTGCTGTAGCTATTCGTTTAAATGTAACAGCCTCAGTTTCATATAAGTGCGCCAAGTGCAAAAGGCCAGTAAGTCAAACTGGTCGTCATTGCCTCCAATGCATTTTTAGCAGTAGACGCTCAATCCGGCATAACAGATGTAATGCTCTCATAAAACGAGCTTTACAATCCGCAGGCTTTCCTGCCACTTTAGAACCCTCAGGCCTCTTTACGGATGGGAGACGACCCGATGGAATTACACAAATTCCTTGAGAGAATGACCTATTTCTAGCGTGGGATTTCTCCTGCGTTGACCCACTCTCACTCTCCAACATCAATAAAGACATTTTAAAATACACCGAAGCTTTTAATACAAATAAATATTGGATATTCCAGATGAGTATAAATTCGTACCAGTTGTCACGACAACCTTAACATCCCTTGGAAGTCAGGCTCTTAGCCTAATTAAAAAGATTGACAGAACCTTAAGAACAAAATCAAAAGACCTAAAAGAAGGCGTCTACTTACGTCAACGCATAGGAATTCAGATTATAAAATCTAATTTCACATGCTTCATAGATTCATTCCCCGAGGAGCCCGATTAATCTAGATTTTCTTTTTCTTCCCTAAATTATTTAAAATCCCCCCCCCCCCCTTTTTCCTCATATAAGTATTTGCACTAATTATATTTCCATTATATCTACTATTATACTTTGTATTATGAAGTCGTTGGTTGTTAAATTTCTTGAAATTTCTAGAACTGTTAAATTATATATTTTTTTAAAATTCCGTAAAGTAGTATTTTTTATAAAAAACAAATTTTCATGAATTTAATAACGATTTAATAAATGTTTTTTTTTATAAATTTTGAAAATGGTTAAGTGTATTTATATATTATATAGTTTACTACATATACAAATAAAAATATATTGTAAATTTTTAACGTTTATTTATCATAAATTAAATTCATTATTATTTTAAAAATATTTTTGCTATTATTTTTTTATTTAATATATAAATATATTTTTTTAATATATAAAAGTTTTTCGTGTATTATAAAAATTTGGCTAATATATTTACAAAAATTTAATGGTATTTAAATTTTTGAACTAGAACGCGTTCATTTTTTTTTGAAGGTGAAAGTTGAACGTGAACGCGTTGTTCAATTTTTATCAATTATCAAGGAATGATAAACGCGAAAGCGTTCGATTTAGTAAGGAATGTTTACAGTACCACTTGTTTTAAAAGATGATAAATTTTATAATACAAATAAATGAATAAAACAAAAAAACAATAACCCCCCTCCCCTTTATATATGTCTAAGGGGGGGGGGGGAATTAAAAATTTGCACACGTCATATATTATGACTGTAAATATTTGTTGAACTAAACGATTTATTGAGCAATTAACGATCCATATTTAAAAAAAAAATTAACACGCTATAATTCGGAAAACTCCTTAATTTGGCCCAAAATTTTGAGTCACAATCAAATTTCAATTTATACAAATTAATTTAAATTACATTTTTATCAAATTATTACTTTTTTTTACCATCATATAAAATATCCATATTTGATTATACGAATGATTAAATGGCAATTCACCAATATCCCTTATATGGAATAATAGTGCGTCTGAATTTGACAATTGAGTTTTGTCGTTCAAAAGTTCGCACGATGAATATTTGCAATGCTTAAATTGGGCTGCTCCTAGATTTTTATCCCATGTAGAATCATCAAATAATGATGTCCATAGTAATACCTTCTTGATTTCATCAAATGTTTTATTTTCCATATCTTCATTGCTAGTCAAAACTTGACTTGGCATCAATTTGATAATGTTGTACAAATTTTCGTGTAATTTTTCGTAAACGACTCGCATCAGATTAGATGAACGATTTAAAATACCGTCATCGCTTTGAAAAATATATATCGCAAGAATTATTCCAATTAATATATAAAAGCTAAATAAACTTCTCGCGTTTTTCCGCATTTTATTTAATATAGTGAATAAAAGTAAAGTAAGGAAATATTTTCGGGTCATTAATAAAAAAATGTAAAATATGTTTTACTATATTTTGATTACTATTAATCAATGTTTACTTTTAAACACGTAGAAAATTTATTTATTTTGATAGTAAAAGATAAATGTTAAATAATTAGCTCATAATTTACCTATTAAAATAAGAAATTATGGTTTGGCTCTGGTTGGAAAAATAAATAATTTTTTTTTTTAGAAAATAATGTTTAATCTTATTTTATTAATGATCATGAATATCTTAGTGATAATAAATACAAAATTTAACTTCATAAAAATACATCTAATTTCTTTTTTTAATATATAAATAAAATAAAATAAATATGATCTAAGGGCATCATCAAAAGTTCTTTTATTAGCAGTTTAGTTAGGAAAGAAAAAGATTTTTTTATTAACCAACGCGTCATCTCTGTTACCCGAATCTTTACGCTAGCCTAGTTTCTAATTTATTAGTTGCTAATTTTACCAAAAGCAACAACATATTTCGGCTTAGGTAAACTATTGGAATGTATGTCGAAATTTTTAACAAGGCTATCCAGGATCATTACGGTATTTAAAGAAATCCCTTTAAGAAATAAAAATTTAAATAATAAGAAACATTAATCGCGATAATACATTTTTAAATGCGTTTTAAACACGTCTTGCTTTATTTATTTTTAATGTTATTTGTTTATTTTTATTCGAGCTAATTATAAGATCTATCTAATAGGAAGTCAACTCTTCCCTCTTAATAAGTGAATCAGGAATATTTTTATTTACATAAAAATATCGATATGGAAAACAAATATAAGCTAATTTAAAAAAAATTTGAATGTAATTACTCAGGTTAAGGAATTCTAGCTTAGGATAAATTTTTTTGAATCCTGACATATTATTTGGCTAGGGCGCAAAAGCTTAATAAAAATATTTAGGCATCAATATTAATCATCACTCTAAGTAGGCCATATCATAAGTGGTAAGTAAAAATTTTCCTTTTAATCAAATTATTTTAATAATGTGTAACCCAATCAATAATCTATTAAATTACGCGATCAAATTTCAAACAATTTTATTATAATTTGTGACTAATATAAAGTATAAAGATTTAGAATTATAGGTAAATAACTGGACCGGAACTTTATACTACATCTTAACATGAATGATATTCTTTTTGGTTAGGATCCCTGGATTTAGCATATGATATCCATACCAAATTTTAAATTTATAATCCCCTCTCACCCTTGCTGCTAATATGTTATCCAGGGAAGACCAAGAAAGAAGACAATTATTGCAGTCTTCAAATCATTTTTATATTCGCTTTTATTTGATAGATAATTCAAATTCTAATTTATAAATCTCCCCTCCTCTCTTCCAGATCAAGTATTACCGTTTAAAACCAAGAGTGAGTACTCTCATTTTTATTCAATTTTTATCCCGAGACCTAGACCACCCTACTTAACGGGATAATTAATATTATATATGTTGTAATTGTGTATTTTTACATTATATATATGGAAATTTATATAATATCATAATATCCAATATCAATCAAATGTTTAAATGTATATTCGTAGATTATATATTTAGTTTTATATAATATCTTATGACAATATTATATATTACACATGTCAAACATCGATATGATGTCAATCATTTTGAATTATTGTGGCGAAGTTGGTCGAGTAGTCCTTTGTTGGTTTACAATAAAACAATATATATATATATATGAGAATTGTGTGAATATTCAAATTTTTTTTAATTACCTTTCATTTGATCACTTAACACCCATATCAAATTTTTATGTATTGGGAAATATTAGTAAATCACAATTATATTAAGTTATTAATTTTTAATGTCTTTTATCGATTGAGATCCAAGTTCCTTTTTAGCGTCAACATTATAATTGGGAGGAAAATAACTTAAGTTTTTCCTATGTACAGGATGTTCAATCAGGGGGTTTCGGTCATTGAGAGTATAAAGTTGAGATGATTGCACTTTATTATGTTTAGGGCTAACCTTTGACGTAGGTAGAATCCTTCGTTGGGATCTTCGGTCCTAGCAGAGATAAGGTTTCCCAGCTCTTTAAAAAAGGCCAAGGCATAAAAGTCGAACGATGATAGAGTCGTGATGATGATAAGGATTATAGTTGGCAGGTAGCGATGACGAATATTTAGCCAGTTTATTCGTCTCGGAGTCCAGTAGAGCATCTCTATTTATATTGGAAAGGCAAGAGGATTGATGCATGAGAAATCCCAGGTTAAGAATTCCCCCCTTCTTCCAAGGGATCATGGTAGAACCATCAGGCAGCTTACCATCGGAATTATAGGCCGATAGGCTCGAGAATTCACGGGATGCCAGCAGATTTCATGGCCCTGTAAATAGTATCGTTTCTTTAATTTGCATCTACAACGCTTGCAGTGCAAAAAGTGACGGCCTTTGGATTTGACCGATGTTTGACAGAGGATATACTGATAGGGTATCACCATATTACAATTAAGTCTAAGATCGATGGCGTGACGTTACTCATCATTGCTTAGACGTGGTCAAGGTTTATCGATGGGAAACCCTTGAGAAATTTGTAACCGCTAGCTGCGGAAATGCAGGAGAGTAGAAAATGGTCTTCGGGTTAGCTCCTCAATTTAAAGTATGCAACGGAGTTGTCAATTAGATTTCCTATGAGCGAGGAGAGAGACTTGTGTGAAGAAACAAGGGGTAAAGATGGTGAGTGTGTATGATTGGCTCTCAAGACAGGCGAGAGGATAGGAACGCACTAATGGAAGGTAGAGAGGGAGACCTTATGCCATTGCCACCTTAGATAATTTTTAGATACATATATATTTTACTTTTATATTTTATAAATAATAATTAAATTTATTAGATATTATGACTAAGTTTATTTCATTACATAAACAAACCAAACAAATTTTATTTTACGCAATGGATGACCACATCTTAATTATAAAATTTTGATTTATTATTAAAATCTAATAATTATCATAATTGTATATTTTCTGTATTTAATGTAACAATTATTATTTATTATTTATCATTTAATTATATATTTTGTATATGTGTTAAAACTTTAAAAATTCAATATTTTATTTTAGCTCAATTCAAGATTTAAATTTTAACAATAGAATAATAAGTTAGGCATTATGCACATCTTATATAATTAAAACAAAATTTATCTTGCGGAAAATTCTATATATATACCTAAAAACATTTGTAATAAATCGTATCTGTATGCAAATATAATATGTAAGTACGATATCTAGATAAGATTTTTTTTAGACGAAATATCTGTATTTAGATTCATTTTTAGATCTGTAAAATTTAAACCCATTTGAAAAGTATCTTTTAACAACCGTGATAATTAATATTCATCATTTCCTTCATTTAAGATTTGCGAATTATTTTTTTATTACATAACATATTAGCTAGTTTTCAAAGTATCGTAATACAATATCGAAAAACAAATAATGCATTAACCAATATACAAAATCTGAAATCATTTTAAAAATTTTATCTTACTGGCATCACCTCAAAGCTAAAACCGATCATTCTTTAATTACTAAGATTTTTTTTACTGTTGCCAATGATTTTTTAATACTGTACCTAAAACATATTATCCTGTATAAAACTTAGTTGTTTAAAAATCGTCACTTTTTTCCTTCAGTTAAAAAAGATTGGATAATTGTGTTATTTTTATTCGTTAAATAACTACTCGAATAATGGATAATTTGTTTTAGGAATATTGCACGTATTATCATTAAGGGAACATATAATAATTTATTATATTAATATCCATCTAGGTGGATAATATAATTGTCAAAGAGGCAAATATTATTTATTATCATTCTTAATAAGCGAGAAAATATTATCAGCAAGGGGGAAAATATCATTTATTATATATGCTTATTAAAGGGGCAAATAGTTACTACGGGGAATATTATCGCCAAGGGGCAAATATGTGTTATTATATTACTTACTAAGGCTTAATTATTGGGAGTGATCCGTAGTTGTGAATTAATTGGTTGCGAATCTCTTCCAAAGCCATCCTTATTAAATATTTCTAAATTACATCCAGGGTTGCCAGACCTGATTTAGGTATAAACCTTCCATTTTTTTACTCCTGATAACGCTAAAATATGCCTTCTCTATTAACTTTATCTCGATTTTTTTATAAAATAAATGTAAGCTAAGAAAGAATGAAAAAAATAAAGAAAAAAAGAAAGAAAATATGAAAAACCGGTCAGACAAAACTTTTAATATTTATTTATTTGGATTAGGAATTTAGAAAGGATATTATAATAAGCTAAATGATTTTAGAACATTTCCAAAAATCTAGATTATTCCTGTATTCCTGTTTGAAAATTTATAAAGTATTTTATCAAGCCCTCAGCAGCATGCCTTGAGTTACGAATAAATAAAATTTTCTCTTTTTAATTTAGTATATTTATAGTTATGTATTTTTTTTACAGAGAAAAATTGAGTATTATATGGTAAAAATAATATTAGTTTTATTTACTTAAATAAGGAAATAATTGAACGGGGGGGGGGGAAATAATATATTGCTTAAATATTTAATATAAATAGTAAAAAAAAAAGAAATAATTTGTCACCTTGAATAAACTATTAAAATTAGTATAAGAAAATTGCGTTAAATAACATGTATTCACAAATTTGACGAGAAATTCTTAACTAATTTTATTAGGCAGGACGGAGTATAATCATAGACCCGCAGGCTCGGTTAATTTTTTTGGATATACCAGGATCGAGCCCTAATATTTTTTTATTAAAAAAAATACCCGTGCGGTCTGGGCTGCATATTTTAAAACCCAAATATTTAAAATCGATATCATTAGCTATAAAAAGTAAGAATAAATGCATTATATTTTGATAAAATCTGGGCCGGGTCAGGCTGTGGAAATGGTAACTCTGCAGGTCTCTGAGTATAATAAAACGGAATTTGCATATGGGCGCCTAATGTTGCTTAGGATTTTGTTTTAAAATAATAACCCGCTAAATTTTAGTGTTTTAAAATTTGTTTAAGATAAAAATTATTTGTCTAACCATCTATGACGTGAGGTTAGCTTTAGACCTGTATATTATGCAAAACCTTAAAGCGTAGTTTTGAATGAATAATGACAATATAACACTGAAAGGGAGAAAAAGTTAAAATTTTTAAATAAACTCTACTATTTAAAACCTTGTCGAAATTTAATAGATTTATTTAAACTTTTTTCACTCGGAATTTATAGAAAATTGGTAGTATCAATTTTAAATATTGATTTACTATACCCAAAAATAAATGTATGCTGCCTAAAATCCATGTTTTGTAAAAAAAAAAAATTCCAACCTTGCGTTAAAAGTTTTATTATCAAATAAACTAAAAATCCATCATATATTATATTTTTTTTATCTGGTTTTTAAACTAAGCATCAAAATTATAAAAATTATCATTTGGAATTTGATAAAGAATGATATAAATTATTCTAAAATATTATAAATTTTTCCAAATTCATTTTTAAAATTTTAAGACTTTGCATAATTGTTCCAAATCCTCATAATTTTTAAAAATATTCCCAAGAAAACGTGGGGATTTTTAAATAATTTACTTCTTACGTTGAATTTTTGAATTCCAGAGATTCCATATCACGCTAATCTTATTACAACGTATACATTTAGTTAATTTATACCAGTCAAATTATATATCAGATTCATTTTTTTTGTTAGACTCTATAAAAAAATGATTAAAATTGGATTTTATCACCAAATACCAATAGATTTTAATATATAGCGTTCCTGAAGATATTCTTGACAATAATATTTATCAAAAATATATTTAATCTTTTTTGTGTATTTGAATTTTGTTTTTAATGAAAAATTTAGATTTAGAAAAATGTATAATATTTTAAAATCATTTACATTTATTATAACCAATCTTACAGTTATTTATAAAAAAAATACGAATATTTTAAAATTATATTCAAAAAAATCTTCTATACTGCGATTTTTTCGGTCTTGGTTTGTTTAATGATGGCCCCTTTATCCCATTCGCAATTAATATCCAAAATGTCGTCATTATCAAAGGAATTTATAAAAACGGATATAGAATTTGATTTCTCGCATCCGTCGTACGCGTTATATAGCGTGTCAGCCAACTTCTGAGTACGAGTCAATTCGAGGTTTTTGGTGGTTAAAGAATTATCGGACGATTTCATATATTCCGAACTAGAACATTGCGCAAAAATTTTAAATGGCTGCCCAATAACGGGAATTTGCGTATGGTAGGATTTATGATTCGCCCTTCTCCCGTGAGGATTGGGATTAGATTCTAATTGATCATTTTTTCTTTGAGTATTTGTAATATTAGTAAATTTTTCTAAATTATTTGCACTACCGGGTTCTTCGTTCAAAATCTTGGAGTACTGGTGATGATTGGAAGAAGAGATGGAACAAGAGTTCAGCGATTTTTTGAGGATTTCTTTAGTCTTTTTACCCCCAATTTCATTTTTATTGGCGAACGTTTTTATCGTGTCGTACAAGTAATTGCCATTGTTGTTTATAAAATTATTGGAATTTTTGCGAATATTATTATCGGTATCGTTATCTGTTCTTAAATCCGAGGAAACGTGGCACGAATGCCTAAGATTATTTAGCAATGGTTTATCAAGATGATTTTCGGCAGATATAACGATGCTATTATTCTCGTATATGTGCGATTCAGGATGGCAAATGTGTCCTAGATCCTTGCCATCATGGTAGCATCGGTAGATGATATCATCTCCCGGTCGGTTTTTTCCGGGGGTTTCGGTGTTTTTACATTTAAAGTTATCGATTTGAGTTTCCAAATGTCTGAAAAACTCGTTACTCGATACCGAGTTAGTCAATTGGCGATTGGCCAACATTTGCTTCCTCCCTATGAAATCGGAATAATAAACGCCGTCGTTGTTAACGTCCCTTTCGATGGAATATAATCTCAAATCCTTTTCGTCGCGGCCTAAATTTCTTAGAGGATCTCTATCTTTAATCAAACTCTCATTGATTAGGGTATTATTATTATTCGCACCATTCAGATTTCGGTTTAACGGTTCATTTTCAGTTCCTACTGTGGTTTTGTACGTATCAGGGTTGCTAGATACATTGCGATTAAAGTCAGAGGTGTTATTTCTACGTCTTTGCTTCCACCACCATAGAATAAAAGATGTCAGGATACAAATTGCAAGAGCGGAGAGTGCTAATAAAGTTGTTAATAATATGATCAGTCTTTTGTACTTCCTTTCCCTCCTTGCTCTTTGAATCCAACTAAAATGATCTTTGGAAGTCCCAAAGGAGCTTAATTTTTTGCGCAAGGGACCCGGCATCCACTTGGAAAGAATGTCGGAATACTCATCATCTACGATGCATACATAGGCCTCTGATGGTATACACATCAAACAAGTATTCATTAAGTGATGCGGTGCGTAGCAGAGCGTTTTTTGCAATTTCTTTTCGATATAAGGGTAAAAAATATAATATAAAAAAGATTATTAAATAATAACATTATAGTATTTTTGAGGAATAATATTAATTTATTTAATATTTAACCCTTGAGTAATATTGGTAAAATTACAACACGAGTAATTGAACGATAACACGCCTCACCTCCATTTTAAAACTGTTATATATCATTCAAATTTCGATATTAACCTTTGATATTTGTTTTCCTGATATTTATAACATTATTTCCGCTAAAGATCTGCAAAAGTAGATCCGGCCCGTAACCGGGCCATGTCTATTTTTCTTAAACTGGGTGGGGCCTAATATTATTTTAACAAATTCAGGCCGGGTCGGGCCTTGGAATTATTTTACAAATGTATCTAAATTTATCAATTTTATGTTAAATTTTTTATGTAGAATAAAAATATTTGATTTTATTTATAAAAACTAGACGCCATATAACATATCATCTTTTATTTTGAGTAATTATAAAAATGAATTTCTATATTTAAATAAATTCAGGCCAGGCCTGTAAATTTTTTAAAAATTTTTTGGGCTGGGCTTGAAAAATTAGCCGATGCAGATCACTAATTTCCACATCTATATTTTAATATTAAAAAAAAATACGATAAGATAAATTTTGATTATAAATATTTTTAAATATACAATATTTATGTTTTAAAAAAATAAACAATTGGTTTATATATAAAAAAAACAAATCCAAAATTTAAAAAATTAAAGATGAAATATAACGTAGGAAGGAAGGAAGAATAAGTCTAGAGAAGATCTGTGAAGAGAAGACTGCCATTGAAACTTTGATAATTCTCTTTAAGGATAGCTATGGTCTGCGGAAGAAACCTTCTCGAGCATCGCCAATAAGCTAGCAGATGTGAAATCCTAAATCCTTGAAGTAGGATAAGACAATCTTACCAAAATAAGTTAAGGTTTTAGATATTCTCAAGTTTCAGAATATTTAGAAATTTTAAGCTGTTTATTTTGCTCGAGTACGTTTGGAGTTTGGTTGGATAAGGCTAATGGATCTATACAAGAATAGTCCCAAACAAGGAATTTTTATTGTTTCCATGGGATCAAGATGGTTCTGTCAGGCCCTTTCCATCGGATCTAAAAAGTTCTGTTGGTTTTAGTATTGCAGGGTTGTAAATACTTTAAAGGTAATTGGTTCAAAAAATTGCAATTGAAGTGCAAACTGTATCTTCTATGCAATCTATAAGAGTTCTGCAACCAGAGCAGATTCGAGGAAAGGTTATCGTACAATTAAGGCGAATTCCAATATATTTTAGAAATTTTAAATTAATATAAAAATAAAATTTTGAAAATTTGATGTTAAATAAAAATTTTATTATAATTTGTTAAAAAATTTGGTAAATAAAGTAAAATTACATATATAATTTTATAATTTACTATAAAAATCTCTTAAATAATTTTTTAATTTAATTAATATTTAGATTTAAGTATAAACTTGGTTTCTTTCAAATAATAGTGTATTTATATTCAAAAAAAATAATATATAAATCATTGTCCATTTTAATTCCAAAAATATTTACATCTTAAAAATCGTTCAATTAAAAATACTCGAAGCCTTGCAAAAATATAATTTAGCCCAAAATGGTAGGAGGCTACCGAAAATCCAGATAAAAATATGACAGGCGCATTCTTGCTAGCAATAAGATACTTCGTTAGTGTTGGGGGAGGGGATAATATTTCAAGTGTTAATTTTTAGATTAATGTGCGACAATCAACAAAAAATTCATTAAATCGCTAACCCCATTGTATCTACAATCCAAATTTTGTTTAGATAATCTGTTTCTAATAAAAATTTATCACAAATTCCATCAAATAATTAATGATAGGATTTTTTTCAGTCTATTATGCTGTATATAGACTTGTGGAGGTAAAACTACAAATACCACTTGTCGGATTAAAATATTAAATGAGAACCACATGTGGAAATTTTTTGGACTTTATAACCTCGCAAATTAACGAATTTAGCTATTTGGACAAAATGATATCGGCTCGTGTTAACAATTTAGTGTATTTGCTTTAAAATCAGATATCTTAATATAAAATTAGTCCAGTTGAAGCCATATATCTAGTTTTAAAAAGATGGATTACTTATATTCGGAATAAAATTTATTCTTGCATCAGAATCCAATTAATGGAATATGTACAGTTTCGCTTTGACGCAAATGTAATCAAATGCTAGGTAAAAACCGTTAGGGGTATTAAATATCATCAGATAATATCTAGGATATTTGTTATGCCCAAGCATACCACTCATGGGTTAAACTCATTACAAGAACAAAAAATTTAATACATTATAAATACAAAATTGTTGTTTATACATAGGATTAGTGATAATTAAAAAAAAATAAAATATTTAATCAGAATTTAAATTAAGGAATTTACATTAGAAGCTTCGTCATTCAATGCATGAGAATCACCTTTGTACGATTGCAATTCCTGAATCCATTCTCTCAGCCATCTAATCTTACAATCGCACATCCACGGGTTATTCATAAAATCTAAATACTGGTTCATAAATATTTTTATATGGTATATATTTGTGATTATATTATTATTATTATCATATTTTATAATTATTTATACGAGGGAAAAATTTCATTTAAAATCTAACTTGAATAGAATTAAACGAAATACGATTGAAGGTCCCGTATTCCAATGTAAATAATTTGTTATTAGCTAAGCTTAAAGATGTTATTCGATGGAGTCCAGCTAAGGCATGAGCGGATACAAATGTTAGATTGTTGTATTTTAAATCGAGATATTCAATCTCTGTGACATATTTAAAAACTAGAGATTGTAGATGAGTTATGTGATTACGACTTAAGTCTAACGTATTGAGATACGGTATTCCTTTAAACATTTTCGAGTTTAGCTCTGAAATATGATTGTTGCTTAGATTTAGGGTGTGCAATCCTAACATGTTAACGAAAGTTTCATCTTCTAGACCCTTGAGATGATTGTGACTGATATTGATTCCTATATATAAATCAAATAAACCTTTTTATAGTATAATGCAATAAGAGTTAAAAAAAACCGGAACAGCCAAAGCCTGGAACCCTCGGAACCGAGTCTAATCTAGGAAGCGGAACCGCCAGCAAATTATCTCAGGGAACCGAACTCAGAATCTTCGAAATTAACAATTTAAATATTTTATTCAATTTCTTTAGATCATAAACCTTTTATTCCCAACGAGTTAATGAATGTGTGAGCGCGGAGCATCTTCATTCGATTGAAAGATAAATCAAGGCTTTCGCAGCATTTCTGCAAATCGTTAAACGTTTCCGGAAATACCGTTTCGATTTGATTTCGTGACAAATCCAGGGATCGTACCTGAGACGGTGACATGACATCGTCGAGTCCTCTGAAGTTGTGAGGTGTCAACTGGGATATCTTATTCTTGCCGAAGTCTAAAGCCCTCATCGAGCTCATATTGAAAAATATGTCAGAGGGTGGGAACGAAGTCAGGGAATTACCGGCGAGTATCACCCTCTTAAGTGGGGACGAGTTTAAATTATCGAATGCCAATCGGTGAATCGTGTTGATTTTGTTGTCGGCTAAATTTAGAATTTCTAGTAACGGGATACTGGGAAAGCATTTGTTGGCTAGGTAAGAAATTTCGTTGCGGGATAAATCCAAATACCACAGTGTTTTAAAACTGGATAGAGCTTTGGTGGGGACGCTATTTAACAAATTTCCGCTCATATGAAGGGAACCTAAAACGTTTTTCAGGTTATCCCCGAAATCGTCGCTTTTAGATTCCTTGATAACGTTGTCGGCTAGATTAAGAACCCATAAATTCTTAAGATTTTTAAGCGAATCCTTTGGTACTTTGTCCAACAAATTTCCTTTTAAGTGGAGGTAAGATAACGACGCTTCGAGACCTAATAATTATGGAAAGTTTTAGTAAGGAAAAAAATGAACAAGGGGTATTATAATCCAGAGACCTTCATGGGCCTTAATTTTTGACCAAGCCCGGCCCTGGCAAGCAGTAAAAAAATTTTTCCCAAGCCCGGCCCGGCCCATATTTAATGTTAAAAAGATTCCCAAGTCCGGCCCAAGCCCATAATAAGTTTCACAAAAATTTCCCAAGTCCGGCCAAATGCCCAGCCCAAGCCCATTAAAAATATTTTTAAAACCCAGGCCCGGCCCAGACCCGCTAGAAAATACGAAGACCCATACCCGGCCCTTACAACAAATTGAATTATACACCCTATCTATCTTTTCGCAATTCTTTATTACTCACTATTTAATCGCTTAAATATTGGAGTGTTATATCTTACATTCGGAAAGTTTTTAGCATTTTAAGTTAACTATAAAAATAATTTTACAAAATATTCATTAATTGCTTTAAAGTTTTATTATAATTTTTAAATTTTCGCTAATTCACTTTTACTTGGTCTCATTGTCAATTTCAACTCTGGATGCGAATATCATTTTTTTTTTAAATTTGCTCAATCGATAACATGTCATAAAGAAATGTGCATGTGAACCTATTTCCGACCCGGAAATAGTATAATTTCAAATATCCGGGCCGGGCTTAAAAGTTTAAAAAATATTAGAAATCCGGCACAGTCTAAGCTTGATTCGATCCGATCTAGCGGGTCGAGCCAATTTAAAAATACTTTTTAAAGAAAATATCGCAACCAATAAATTAGAAAATGTTTAGATAGGTATAGAATGAAAGGTTTAGGCATCCTAAAATTCGACTTATTTCTAAACAGCCGGCTGCTTAACTGGCTACATAGCTTCGACTAAACAGCCTAAAAAAAAAGAAAACAAAAATAATGAAAAAAACAAAAAAAAACAAAGCCACCAAACACTTAAAAAACAGACCAAAATAGGGTTTCCTAAAGTAATAAATCAAAAATAAATCGAACTAGGACATATCTCGATTTACCTTCAATTTTTTGCTGAAACATTTTTTTAAAAAAAAATACAGCCAAGATTATTCAAAAGTTAACACAAAAATTTTTTATAAAATTTGTGAGCCGTGCCTAAAAAAGGATCAAAAATAATCCTCGTCTCTAACAAAAAATTATTCAAAAAATTTTGTCCCGCCGTGATTTTGATAGGGCATAAAATTTTGACCTCAGCAAGTTTCGTACACCACCCAAAGAAAAAACGTTAACCTTTGAAAGCGTTATCCGCCACGGTGGATATTTTGTTATTCTCCAGGTTTAGAGTCCTCAATATACGCATCTCCTTGAAGCAAAATGGCGTCAGAAATCGGATCCTGTTTTCGCTCAACACTAGGTATTCGACGGACGAAAGGTGCTGAAAATTTGTCGGAACTATATTATCGATATGATTGTCGTGCAGAAATAAAACTCTCAGATTATTCAGGCCCACGAAGGCCTCCCCGTCTATCAACTTTATATGATTATGGCCGAGGTTCAATGTTTGCAAAGATCTAAGCGAAGAAAATGCCTTTTGTGGAGTCAGAAGTTCTATCAAATTCCTGGCCAAATCTAATTTCTTCAGAGCTCTCAAATAATTGAACGCGTCCTTGGGAATGATCTTTATTTGATTATTTTGTAGTTCGAGCTCTTGTAGCGTTTCTTCTAGTCCGACAAAGGCATCCTTATCAATTTTAGCTATTTCATTGGCTTCTAAATGCAAAGCTCTCAGGTTTGAGAGTCCCCAAAGAGCTCGACCGGATATATGACTCAATAAATTGTAGGATAAATCCAGAACACGTAAATGAGTGAGCGGTGCTAGCGAAGAGGTAGGAATTGTTTTCAAATTATTAATTTGGAGATCCAAGATTCGTAACTTTGGTGCTAGTGACATAAATGCATCTCCGGATATGTTCCAAAGTTTTCCATTATTTATAGCGAGATATTCGAGATTTGTGAAACCAAAAAAAGGATCACCTTGCAACATACCAATATTATTATAACGCATGGTTAAATGGGTGAGAGTTCTATCCAAAATTTTGGTCTTACGAATCGATTTAGTCGTTTTAAAGAGCGAATTATATTGACACAATATCGCGATCGGGTCAGAATTAGAATCGTTTACGTAAGAAAATCCCGATTTTGCGTCGGCGTTGTCGCATGCGCACTCCGTGACATTTGATGGCAAATAGCACGGTCTTATTTTAAAAATAAACGAAAAATATACCATAAATTGTAGTATACACAACATTTACGAATTTAAACTCTTTTTTTTTATACATCTAACTCTTACTAAAATAATTAATTGTCAATATGATAGGACATCATAATAGTCCCTCAAAAAAGATCTAAAATATATAGGACATTTGATAAGCTCTAAAATTCATTTAATACAGACCACTTCCATGTTATAATATACATCAAATAATATTCCCATGCGAATTTATGAATGTATTTTTATTTTTTAAATTATATCATTCGTTTTTCTAACTAACTATCTATCTATATATAATATTTATATTGTTTATGATTTTATAAACGAATAATATAATAATAAAAATAGAGTATAAATATATATATATTTATAGAATAATTAAATAAAATATTATGATTTATTCCTATACATCTATGAAAGAATAACTATTGATAAATGCCATTTGTAAAGTTAACATCCTTTTTTCTTCTTGATCTTAAAACTCCTTATATGACGGTGAATATGTAGTCTTTAATGATCATATATTTGTAGACAGAACAAGAACCCTGAAAATGGGTTCAAACCCCAGCCTGGACCGAGCAAAGCAAGGCAATTATTAATTTTTTGACTTCACAAAAGTGTGTGTTTAACATTTTTCAAATTAAAAATTATAGACTGTTGGGATTTTAGGATCGAGGTAAGACGAAAAATTAAAGATGTTTATTTAAGTAGTAATAAAATGATAATCTCTCACAATAAGAAAAAAACATTTTATTATTTCAACAAGAAAATAAATTATATTAAATCAATTTAAGTATATATATATTATTATTATTTAACAAAATGAAAGGTTAATAATATTAAATTTTGCATTATGTTACCTTATAATCGCGAGAACAATATGCCAAAAAGATAAATAATTACTAAATGGACCAAGATGAATTCAGAGCGGACTGAGGCTTAAAAAGAATTTATACGAGGCTTTGCTAGAACTAAACTTACAAAACATATTTATTAACAAACTATTGTTGTTAAAATGGCCAAATTTGGGCCTATTTTTACAAACGACTACCTCAATATTTTAGCTAGAAAAATACTGTCTAAGCCCCCGAGACGAGATATTGCTAATTAGATGTCCAAACCTTTGTGTCATCTTCGAGCAAAATCTTCAGGCTTGCATAATTTCCTTCTGGGTAAAATATCGAGTTAGCTTTTCTTTTTTAAAAATAGGCTCAAAGCGAGCCGTTAACAACACTATTTACCAGAGTTGTTAAAGGATCTAGATATAAAAATGTGGTATCTGTATCTGTATCTAGATAGATTTTTGATTAAAATATCGGTATCTAGATATTATTTTATACGATGTATCTGTATCTAGATCCATTTAAAAAGTATCTTTTAACAACTCTGCTATTTACAAACGAATCCTAATTTATAAATTACTCGCTTCTCCTAACTGTTTTAAATCGTCAAATAAATCCAAAGTTTTTGGGAGGCTTTTATCTAAGAATTTTTTTTTTTTAACACATATTCTTTTAATTTCAGATATATAAATTTAGTTTACACAAGTTGTTCATTCGATTAAGGCAAACATAGAAAATTATGAGAGAGAAAATTAAATGATAACTTTATGCCCAAATCTTATCCTTAATGAATTTGTAACTTATGTGGAGACACATTCAATGAAACGGGGAGATATTATATTGCGTCTAATTAATTAAAACTCACGCATTGGATTGAGCAAGAATTAGTGATACATCGGTTAAGGACATGAGAATATTGATGATAAGAATGTTGACTATTTTAAAATTCGGATATTGCTTCATTTATCGAAATAGCGTAAATAATTTTAGCAGGAATGCCTCCATCTCTTGCTTTTATATGTTTAATAGAATTGACGCGCAATTAAAGAGATCTGGGGGTGGAGGGGGGGGGGAATAAAAAAACTACACCTTTTGATTTAAAGTTGTTTTTTGGAAGTTGATAAAATATATAAGTTTTTTTTATTATTATTATTATCCTTTTAGAAATAATATTAATCTTATATTAAAAAAAAACTAAAACTCATATTTTATGGTAATTAGCGTTTCAAATGAGAAATAAATATTAAAAAAAATGAAAGAATCTAGCCCCCAATTAATAATCACAAACCTCTCTCTAAGGAATTTTGCATTTTATGTATTTATGCATTTTGTATTTTATTTTTTATGTATGTTAATAATATATGAAAAAAAATGTTAATTTTTACAAGTCTAATTTTCTAAATAAAATTGTCTTTTTTATTTTTTTTAAAGTATGGGATCACTTGAAAATGTGATTTTTTTGAATGAAAATCCAAAAAAAAATCGATATACGTTTAAACCCGGGTCTCAATAATTTTGTGGTTGCCAATATATAGATATAAGATTTAAATAGCAAAAAAAAATTTAAATCAAAAGAATTTGGGAAAGATGTAATAAATAGTTATAAAAATAAAGATATTGACTTATGAAAATGCTCATAATTGTATAAAACAAATAATATATAAAAAAACAACCCTCTTTTACCAAAAAATACAGTATATTAATTTAATAAGTTATAAATAAGTATTAATATTAATATTTATATTGTATTTCTTTTTTAATAATTTATATATTTATAAAAGAAAAGTATAAGATAGAAAATATAGTATAAAAAAATTTAGATAAAAAAATATAAAATATTTAAATATTTAATAAATTAGTTTTATGGTTGAGATTTTTTTTTTAATCCATCAAAAAAAAAATACAAACTTGATTTCAAAAATTAAAAAAATATTTTAATCAAAATTCTTAACATAGTCATAATTTATTAATATTTATAATATTAATATTATAAATTATGCTTGATATCAACTCTTATATTTATCAGAGACTTGCATAACCGGGTCGGTTAATGTCAGTGCATTCGGCTTTTATATCCGATGACGGATTTTAAAAATCCGGGCCCAGTTTTAAAATAAAACACCCGTACAGCCTGATATTTCTAAAAATAGAATAAAACTATATCAATTAAACTAAGTTGGAAAATCGTAAATTGGATAATTCGAAAGTTGTTTATAATTTTCAATTTCCAAAATTATTTGTGCAGTTAAAATTTTTCTAATTGGAAGATTTTAGCAAAAATAATTTTATGTTAAGAATCGAATTTTGGCAAATAGATGTCCAGGCATTTCTGTCAGCTATGCAAAATCTTTGGACTTAGATAATTCTATTTTGATCATGAACTTAATCGGGCGGTTTTTAAAATCTACCTGAAACGGGCTTTTTAACAACACTAGCCGGCCCCTTTAAGATTTGGAAATTTTAGTTTTTTTAAAAAAATTTGTTTCGCGGATAAAATTGAAATTTATAAACAACTTTCGAATCATCCAATTTACGATTTTCCAAACTTAGTATAATTGATATAATTTTATGCTATTTTAAATATATCCGGATGTACTCGTAATTTATTTTAAAGCTTGGCCCGGATTTTTAAATCCGTCTTATCGGATATACGCCGGATATATTGACAATGACTGAATTGGGCTTGCAAGGCAGATACCTTCATGGGCCTTAATTTTTTGACCAAGCTCGGCCCCGGCCCACAGTAAAAAAATTTTTTTTGGTTCATGCCCGGCCCATATTTAATGTTAAAAAAAATTCTCGATCCAAGCCCATAATAAGTTTCACGAAAATTTCCAGCCCGGCCCAAGCCCATATCCAAAAATTTGATTTTTTTAATATTTAAATGAAAATTGACAATATTTATATATATTTAGGCAATTATTTTGTTTTACAATACTGAAATTTATTATTATTAGAAAAAAAAGAAGTATTTCTTTAAATTAGCAACTGTTTTAAATAATCTAAATTTAAATTTAATAAATTTTAGGCCCAAGCTTAGCCCAAGCTAATTAACAATTAGTTTTTTTAAATCCAGACCCGGTCCAGATCCGCTACAAAATATGATATTAGGTTGGGCATGCGGGCTGCGGGCCCCGGCCCATGAAGGTTTCTGCTGCAAGGTCTCAAAAAGAATTTTTTAAAATTTGATTCCGGTCACTGCAACACTCCTTCTCAAAAAAGAAGAAAACAGAAAATATTATATTTTTTTTTATAAACAAATCTTTAAGGTCTCGTCTAGTGTTTTTACTTCATTTAAAAAAAAAAAAATAATATAAATATTCGGATTGCAATGTTTTTCCAAATGGAGATAATAATATACTTTCTTTGTACATCTATTATTATTATTATATAATAGCAAACCAAATCAACCATAAAAAATAATTTAAACTAAAGGGGGTTCTTAATGTCTTTTTTTTTTAGATAATAAAAAGATAAACTTAATAAATTTTATATTATATATATATATAATTATTAAATGAAAGAAGTTTAATATAAATAATGATTTTTTTTTTAAAAAACAAAATAAAATTCCCAAAATATAATTTAAAAACCATTAATTTTCCAAAAATAATAATTATAAAAAAAAAATTAAATTGGGGGCAAATAAAAACGGATCTTTTACTTTACATCAAAACATCTTCTTATTTTAGTTAGTGTGGTTTAAACGGCCAATCCACTCTTCAAGCCAAAAGATTAACAGATGATCAAGCCATTCTACTATCTAGGAGCTAAATCTGTAGGCTTTCATAATATTGTTGGCTAAAATGATGGGTTAATCGTTTTCAAAAATTTCAGCACCGTTTAAACAACACTAATTTTAGTCAAAAAATTATTTTAGAGTTTTGAATGGTGCCTGATTTCCTATTCAGTAATTAAATTGTTGAAGAATCACATAGCACCTGATATAGTTTTAATCAAATTGATGAGAATACTTATCAAATTCGATGTTTTTTTCGGCTCTGGAAAATAAAGGATAGGGCCGGATCTGAAAAACCGGCTATGAATTTTTCCGATTTTATTATTTGAGGTAAAGGGAAATTGAAAATATGAGCAGTAAAACGAATCGTTCCCCATATAAGATTTTTCATCATCTTCACACTGATTAAGCCCGCATTTTGAGATTGAACATCCTGCAAGGTATCTGATGTGATATACTTTCCTAAATCAAATTAGATCGCAATAAAAATTAGATTTTTCATAACTATTAAATATTCAAAATTAATTTTTTTTTATGGAAAGGATAATATATAGAGGTCTGCCCATGGATTCGCAGGAGTGTTGTTGTTAAATGATTACGATTTGAACTAAATTTTTTTAATGAAATAGCTACGTGCTATCTAATGAGTAAAATCTTCAGGGCTTAAACCACTTTAAGGAATTTTGTCCCTGAAGCTATAAAATCTTAGCACGATTTTCGGCGAAGTATTACAAAAATTAATGTAAAATTATTATATTTATATCATATTTTGTATAATTAGTCGCGAATTCGCGCTAGCTGTGAAATGTAGGGTTACACCAAATAAATTATATCTATAATTTATTAAAAAATTTTAAATTTAGATAAATATAGTAAAACAAATCAAAAAGAGCATATTCAATATATACGCACGTGAATCAAATTGATGGTTATTACTTAAAATTACGGTTTGTATCCTTCTATTTTAAATGTAATATAATATTTGTCGTCTTCTATTATTTTTTGCTTAAAATATTTTTTTAAATTTACACTCGATTATCCAACCCTTTGGAATAAAAAAAGACTAAAATCCCATAACCAAAATAAGCTATCTGTCTGTTCTCAGCGGGGAAAAAAGGTGAAATAAAAATGTTATAACCCCACGAAATTTAAAATGCTTTGAAAATTTTATTGATCGAACACAAGCTGGCATTCGATTAAGACATTATATCGTTTCATTTCAACACTCGATATCCTAAAAAACTTAAATCTGCCAAGCTTTGACTTGCTAATAAAATCAAAGTTCTCAAATTTCTAACAAGACATGTAATACATATTTATATGGCGGAAAAAGGTTTTAGGTAACATGTACCTTTATAAAGGAATTACAAATTTATATCCAAAATATCAAAATATTTTATCGAAAGAGCAGCTCATTGATTTGGCGTATGTCTATTTCCTGTTTTCAACGAGACAATGATGTCATACACTAAAATCAAACAAAAAAAGTTTCAACAGACTGCTTTCCTGGAATGGCTCACATTAAGCCTCGTTTTAAATTCATTAAATGAAATATCTACTTTTATATTTAAAAAACATTAGGAACATAGGCCTCACGTGATTTGATCAATTATGTCAAATATTTGAGAGATATTTATCCAAATAGAAGGTTTGAGATTGATTCGAAATCTGCCTAACTGAATTAGGACTGTTATTAGTATTTATTTTTAATTTTTAAATAAAGGTTGATTTAGGGCAGTATATAATGTTGTAGTTTCCATTTTGTTTACATATATTTTTATTGATTAAATGATTTATTTTAACAGATGTAATAATTTCGATTATACTAATTACATTTAAAAAGAAATTATAAAGAATATTTTATTATTTGTAGTTTTTTTTTATGTTTTAATTTTATAGACTGTGACCTAAATGCTTTCAAAAAAATCCTAAAAATTTATAAATTTTTGTAAAATATAAAAGAATTATGAAACATGTCCGAAATCTTCCTTTATTTTTTTTTAAAAGTTTTGTAAAAATTAAAATAAAAAAAACGAAAAAAAATAAAATAAGGAAAAATAACAATACCACCAATGCTTCTATATTAATTTGTTTCTAGTTTTTTTCGCAAAAATTACCTAAATAAATAAATTTTGAATAAATTTTTATTCAAATTGATTAATTTTTCTTTCTATTATTAATTTTTTTTTAAAAATAAATTTTTGTAAATGATTTAAAATGATTTAGAACACTATTTTTTTTATTATAACATTAAAATAGCTCATGTTATTTTTTTTTCTTCAAAATTAATAAATTTATGTTATTTTCGAAACTGTGTTGTTTATGCAACTTGCAATCATAGTGCGTTTTTCATAACTTAAAAATCGGATTTTAGAGGAAATATGTTCTATCATGTTTGGAATACCTATCTTATGAATTGTAGGCAATTTTGTTGTTATAACCTTTGTGTCATTATTATACAAAAAATATATGGAAAATCTAATATAAATTAAATTAAGTTTAAAAAGTTTCATAAAAATAGTCTGAAATTCATAGGGGGTTATCTAAACATGATGAAACACATTACCGGTATAATCAGATTTTTAAATTTTTAAATTTAAAACAAGCGCTCAAAAAGTGATCTAAAGTTGAAAAAAAACACATTGATCGAACATATATATTTATTTTCTAGGTGTAGGACAGGGCCTTAAAAAAATAAATAAGATGAGTAAATAAAAAGAAATATCATTGCAAATTATATAATTTTTTTTTATAAAATACCTTTATGAAATATAATAGATGAAAATTTTTCTGGTTTTTTTAAAAATAAGATTTTACTCCTTCCTTTGATTTCACTGTTAATATAAATCTGATGATCGATCATAGAGCTAATTATTATGTGTTTATTTATAACCTTGGCTGAGAAAAGTATATTTCTTATCATGGTAATGTTTCAGGAGACCTAAATAGAATTTTTAAATGAAGGACTTATAAAATTACTTCTGGTAGAGATGTAAAAATATTTGAGGTATTACACATTATATTAGATTTAACCTTTTACAATAAAGGCTTTTATTTAAATCACATGTCTATGCCTATAATATAAAACAGCTTCCGGGGTAGAAAAGTTATTGAAAAGCGAACTGAATTATTAACTGATTGGTTTGGTATTAAGATAATGTTAATTTATTTTTAATTCAAAAAATGCTATGAATATTTTAAAATCAAATATATACCAAAATGAAAATAAACTTTAACGAACTGTTTTATGGCCTTAATTTGCATATATTCAAGTTAATTCAGAACTAGCAATGTAGTTGAATTTTATGTCCACAAGCTAAATCAGTGACTGCTATTTGTAAAAAGATAAAAATTGTGAACTGCTATGGTCTACAATAAGGCTACGACATAGCAAACCTATCAAAATTAAATGCAACACATCAAATTCATCAATGTATAATATCAACCATGACAATTCGAAGTGAATTCATCAATTATAAATATAGCTCTCGCACGTGCCTTTCTCACTCCCGCCCACTCTTAAACCTTTCGATTTAAACAAATATAACTGAAAAATATCCTTAATTCCATGGGTATTGGCTTATCACTCTATCCTGTTTAGAATTGTCTCCCCTTTGCGGATAATTCCTTAACTCGATTAGAAAACAGAGAAGAACAAATACAGGCGTCTTAATTTTACCATATGTGTCTCTATGGTTTCAATGCTAAAAGGCTCATTTGGACCCCAAGAAGCCTTGAACAAAATTAATTGGAGCAATATCTGGACAATAAGGCCTCTTCCATAGATACTAACCCTTTATTGAGATCAGATAAATTATAATAGTTCTTTCATGAATGATCGTTTATTTACTTATTAATTTGAATATTTTTTTTAAAATTAATATACATTTTATCATTAATATTTTACACGAGTTTTATGAGAGGAAATTTTATGATTGATGTATATTGATGAATAATTTTTGGCCGTAAAGATGATTTGTGACTGATAAAAAATTTTTTTTATATAATTAACACATAAATTATCCCTAAACATGTTATATGCACATGTAAATGTTATAATTGTTCAATACAATCAAGTGTATAACACGATTTTATCATTTCTTCCAAATATGCAATTTCATTAGTAAAATTTTTGCAAAGTTTTTTTCTATTTGATAGTTATATATATATATAATTCTAATTTTTTTTTCCATTTTTTTGTTGCTGCTTGCTTATTATAGATTTCTTAAATTATATGATAAAAGTATTACTCATTTTTCCCTAGAGGATTTTAATAAAAAAAAACTCAATTTTTTTTAAAAAAATATTTTTACTTTAAAATAGAGCTGGTTTTATTTATATTAATATATTATTTAGCATTAATTATTATTTTTATTTTTTCTAATATTTTCTTACGACATAAATATTTTTCCGATAAATTTTTTCTTCCTCATTTTTAATAATGAAAGCGATTGATTTTTATATAATAATTATTTTTATTATCAATTTAAATTTTTTTTTATAATTATATAAAACAACAAATAAAATATACAATAAAATATATAAATAATATACATTTTATAAGAACTTTGATCATATTATTTGTCCTTATATAAATAAAATGAAAAGGAGCGGTTTAATATCATTTTTCTTCTTTTAAAATATAAAATATTATATCTTTTTTTGAATAATTAATTTTTTTGGGAATCAATGAATATTTTTCTAAAGTGTTCTTTTCATATTTTGTAACTTTATTAGGAGATTCTTAATTTTTAAGAGGGTGGCCTAATTTAGGGGGAATTTTGTAAACTTTTCCCCGCATCATAAGATGACGCATATTTTTGAGGTCTCTTTTAATTGATTTTCTTGACGTGATTCAGGATGAACCTTGTTCCTAGTATTTTCTATTCTTTTGGCTTCGCTGGGATTAAGAAATCTTTTAAGGAAGTTTGTTTTCGCGGTATCTTCGAGATTTTCATCGTTTTTGATGATGCTCTTTTTGGTTTGGTCCGGAGAATTATCGAATTTAGACGGAGGAAGGACGGAATCGTTGAGAGGGCTGGGAGATTTGGAGCCGATTAAGAAACAGAGCGGATTCTTTTTCAGTGGAGATTGTGCTTTGGAAGAATCAACGTCGGGCATTGTAGCTGAGGATCTTATCTGCTTGAGAGGCTTTTGTGATTTGTGAACCCTGTCAATACATAAAAATTTAATTTTTCAACAAAGTGATACACATGTTAGGTTAATAACTTATTGATAGAGTATATAAAATTAAAACAATTTATTAAAATATTGCAAAATTAGATATAGGCAAAACTATCTGAGTCAATTTTTATATTGCTACCAGTGTTATTAAAATTAGAGTCGTAAAAATCGATCCAGACTCGAGCACGACTGGGTTAAAATGGACCCAGATCGGAGCACGAGCTGAACAAAATCCGATTAATAAACCCCAATTGGCAGACCCGATGAGAGCTGCTTCATCGAGAAGACCCATAATTCTGATCTGCTTTTAAATATCCATAAAAGTTTCATAGTATTGTTAAATAGTCGAGTTCATTACGATTTCCAAACTCAGGTAGAAATGGTAAAAATGAACGGCTTAGCATTTAGAGTAAACGCGTTTTGTTCAAGCGTTACGTTGTTTAATGCAGCGTTATTACAAAATAAAACCAATAAATAGGTTTGAAAAATTTATGAATATGGAGCGTTATGATGATAACGCTATGATAAAATTTGAAAAACATATGTTGCGATGCGTTGATAAAAAAAATTTGGAAATTATAAAAATAATATCGAATTCGATATAAAGATATGATTTTTCTTATATAATATATAAGATTCAATATCTCTATTTTAGCTTTATCTTATATTAGTTTTTAAAACTGAATCAGCTGTAATAACCTACGCGTTAAATCACGCAACGCTCGAAGATAATGCGTTTACTATAAATGTAGCGCAAGTATTATAAGCCGAACCGAGCCTTGTGAGTTCGAATCATGAGCGAGACTTGCCATTCGATCTTATATAAACGCAATCGACTCAACCCAATTTAACACAAACTTACCATATAGATTTGATCGCAGTCAGTTTAAATCTACCTAGCTGATTTAAATCAGTCCTAGCACGATGACCGGGTATTTAGAAAAAATTACTAACATTTAAAAGTATAAATTAAAATCCGCTTATATCTGAAGTTATTTATAACTTGAAACTTATATCGAAGCTAACAATTAACATCCTTTATTCTCCCCACCCCCTCTTCCTCCCATTGAATATTGCTATTAATCCGTAGGTAGCGGTGCCAACCCAAGGCACGGGCTTTAAGAGCATTTGCTCGAGACGCCAATAACAATTTCTGTATTTCAGGGTACCGAAAATAATTTTTTTCAAATTCAACGCTTTCTTTTTAATTTCTTATATTTTATTGTTGATTTTGAATAAAAAAAAACTATTAAAGAATTAAGTTTTATTTGCTCTTCCATGCATTCAACACTTTATTTTTTTTAAAAAAATATTGAAGAAAAAATATTTATTTTTAATCAGAAAATAAAAAACTTTTTTCAAAAACTATTTTTGGAACTTTGAAAAAGGCCGGCGCTGGCACTATTTTTAGAAGAAAAAAAATATATAGTTAAACAAAATTAAATTATTTATTTTTTATAATATTACTATATTTTTATACCTATCAAATTCATAAAATTGTAAAAACTACAAATTTTTTCCAATTTTAAAATAAGTCCAGAATTTTGGGTCTCCTTAATAAGTTTCCCATTAGGGTTTGCTTATCAGGTCTACTGATAGGGTTTGTCTTTGTGTCTGAGTCAGTTTTTTTCGACTGGCTTTTGGGGTCTGGATTAATTTTATTCGAGGCGTCCTCGGGTCTGGGTGAATTTTATGACAGGTACTCGAGGTCCCAGTATTTTTTCCCATCAATGAACGAACTATGAGTCGCGTTTAAGCATTTTAACAAAGCTAGAATAGTTAACCGATAACATATAGGATATGTATTCTATAATATACATATTTTCTCCAAAATCTTATTTCTCGAAATTATACAAATAATACTTACTATACATGCACTGCCTATTTGTTAAAAGCTCCTAGTCCCTTTATGGTAATATAAATGTAACGCAAATATTGCTTTGCTATATTACTTGTGCAAGAGAATTCTGTAAGTTCCTATGATACTATTTCTAGTATTACGAATAAGGGCTTCTTTTAAGTGAGATTCCGTTATGCCTAGAGCTAAAAGTTCTCTTTTGACCTCATCGAATTCACTATCAACTTTCGCGTTAGTTTCCGTTTTATCACCTCTCAACACCGATTTATCTAGTTCATCTACATTCTTAATAAATGTAATTGTGATTAATGTGATGTTAAGAAACTACTCTCTTTTAGCAACATATATTAAATAACCCCTTTATTGTTAACACAACCAAATAAGTTCCTTTATTTTTGTAATGAATTTATATGAAAGCCGATATATACCTTTGCGTCGTCGTTGATGTCCTCCTCTATGGGGGGAATGATTCGAATGGGAGATAGAGCTTTGGGAAATATTTGTCCTCTCAACCATGGGCTAGAACGCATCTTATCTATCGAGTACCTACTGTTGGGTGGATTAGTGCGCAACAAACCCCTTATAATGTATTTGCATTCGAAAGTTAGGGTGATGTCAGAGTTCTTGAAGTAACTCGTGTGATACCCGCAGTACAAAGGGTTTTCGACAACATTATTAGCTAGAGCCGAGGTTTTTTTGCCGTTAATAACGTAGCCATTTGTCAGCTTTTTGACCCCGTGTTTACCGCACTCATTATCACTTTGAGCAGATTGGGCTTTAGTCAAATGCTGGAAAAAGGCTGATATCTTTTTCGATTTCTTACTTGAATCTGGCGATAAGGGCGGTTTATTACCGTCATCAGCCTTTGTAAGTTGACTTTGAGCCTTGTGTACATAGAGAAAAATAAAGAGAATGTTTTTTATTTGTAAGTTAAGTGTCATTTTAAATAAAATATTACCCATCCCTTAAATATGAATAAATTAATATAAAACAAAACATTCAATCTTATTTTATTTTTTTTTTAAATATATTACAAATTACCGCTGTATTTAAATTTAACGTCTCGTCACTTTTGTAGATATTTGAGCTAGCTCTTTCTTCGTCGTCTTCGCCTTCATCCTTGCTCCTAGGGGGACTCGGAGGTAATTCGTAAATTCCTGACGTTATGACTCTTTTGAGTCTGCTCATAGTGTCAGCAGTGAATGGCATCTTGCCCGTTACCATATAATATAGAAGTATCCCCAGTGCCCACAGATCTACGTACGTTCCTATGTATCCTTCATCTTTGAACAATTCTGGAGCAGCGTACAAGGGGCTACCACAATAGGTGGTTAACAGTTGTTTCTTTTGGCAAGTGGTTGAAAACCCGAAATCGCCCAATTTAACGTTTTCCGGAGAGAAAAAGAAGATGTTTTCCGCTTTTATATCCCTATGTACAATACATTTCTCGTGCTTTTTTTTTCAAACATAATATGATATATGGTAAAAACTATAAATATTAAGATATTTTATTATTATTGTCGTTATACTGATGTTAGGAGAGAATTTCGGCTGACAAAATGCTCGCAGTTAAAATTTAAGGTAAAAATTAGATATATTTTTTAAAAAATTTAAATAAATTTTATATGATATAAAAGAACTTTACCAAACCCGCAACATGCCTAAACCTTAGATAAAATCTGGTAATTTAATTAAATGTGTTATTTATATTTATTATAATAAAATGTCCATTTTATTATCCAGTCATCCAAACGCTCAATTTTATTTTTAATGACTAATCAAATTTATTTTCAAAAAAAAAATATGCACACAATTCAATTGAAATTATTAAATTTTAGCATTAAATTAGAATTAGATATCATAAAACAAAAGGCAAGAATGGGGGGGGGGCATTGTAAAGGGCGGAAGATAAGGATGGAATGTAAAATAAATTATTCGAGAGGTGATTTCGCACTAAGATAAATATTAGAAATGTTCCTTAGGTTGCCTTAGCTGATCCATTTAATTTAATTCTTTAAAGATTGTCTTAAAGAGACGTAGAATAAGAAATGGAGTAGAAAGAGTCTAACAATATCAGGACGTTTTGCCTAGAAGTTTTGTAAATTGTGACAACAGTAGTAGATGGTGGATCATGCAGTCAAAATTTCAGATAAAGATCTGATCAAATTATTACATCAGAACAAGTTTGAATGCATGGTAAGTGTAAAAATATGAATATTATATTTGAGTTGAATCGAAAATCGGGCTCAAACTGCTAGGCAAAACATAGCTCCCTTCAATTTGTTATAAACACTGTTTATAGAGTTTTCACAAAAATAAGATAAATATTATCATCATAATCTTAGAGGGGGTATAATAGATGTTCTTGTTAGTCTATAATATTTGCTATCTTTATTATATTTGTCAGGTCTTATTTGCAATAATTTATTTATTTATTGTTGAAATTTGTTAGATTGGAAAAAGTGATGGTATAATACCATAGAAAGACGTTTATTCGGTTTTTTTGTATTTATTTTACCTTTATTATATGCTTCTTATATAATATGTGCTAACTATCATAATTGATATCTATAGGAGTACGCGGAAATTACAATGCGGGGGAGGGGATAATTAATTTTTCTTTTTTAGAATTAAGAAGTTATTTAGGAATATCAAGTTTCAAAAAATTTATTAGTACTTTAATGACTATAAAATATTCACGAATTCTATTACACAAATTTAAATATAAATGAATGATAATTAAATGTAAATAAAAGAACTTTGTCAAAAAAAAATGTAAATTTTTTTAAAAGTATTTAAAAAAATTCGATATATAAATTTAAATTATATATTTTTTTTAAAAAAAATAAATGTTGGAAGCAAAAGATATTCTTAAGTAATATTGCATATATATATAAATTTAAAAAAGTATTCATGAAAGATACAATGGTGTATTAAAAAAAAATGGGAAAAAATATAAGAAACACATTATACATTTTATTTATAATGTAAAATTCAAATCTGAGCTAATTTTCAATAATTTTATCGGTATACTTGGCAAATTCCTTATCTATATTAAGAAGGGCCAACACTCATTCAATCTACTTTCAGATAGAACTAATCAGTATTGTTGTAAACGGTTCGATTGAACCAATTTTTAACAATGGCTAGCTCAATATTTTAATCAGAAAAATATTACACAAACCTGAATTGCTCATAGATGACACGATAGTTAGGCCATCTTAAGGAAAATGTAATGTGTGCAAAATCGTTCTAAGGATCTAAATCATTTTTAGTAACATTATCAACCATATTTAACCATACCATAGTTTGCATTGTAGTGCTTCTTAGGATACCTTAACATTCTAACAATAAAAATCTGCCAAATATATTTTTTTTTATCTCTGTCAAGATTTGTAATATAATATTTTCAGGCTTAGAAGTGCTGCCTGATTAATCAAGAACCATTTATTCATTTGAGTTATGAAAGATCCAGAGGGAGATAAAGGGATATATTTTATAGAATACCCTATATTACTATTGGAAAGATGGGCAAGACTTGCTGAGAATCGAGGAGGACAAATATTAAATTCATAGAGCTCTGCCTTTGACTTAACATTGACATATAATCTAGTGAAATTTGTCATCTACATTTTCCTTAAGGTCAAATCATTATACTTTCAGCTATTTTCATAGTCTCAACTCTCATTCAAATCGATGTCATTTTTTTCGAATTTCACTTTAGTTTTGCAGTAAAAATGTTTCAACACATTTGGTCGCAAATTTTTTTAAAAAAGTGAAAAATTGATATTATATTAATTAAGAACTAATTGGTAGCGTATTTATTTCTGTTGCGAATGTGATAAATAAATATAGAATATAGGACAAGAAGTAGTAATCCGTAATATTTGAAAAAATTAGTTTAGCCGGCATCTTCCCTGACCTCTTCCCGCTTCGTACTCGCTTGATTACTATAATTACTTTTGAAACGCGTGCACAACTTTAAACACACTTGTAATGAAAGATTAACAGAAATGTGTTTCATACTTTCAAAATATATCATTAGCATCGTAATATTTTAAGCCATTTTTACAGGTATCAATTATTTGGTTAATATCTTTAATAACTCAGGGTTTACAGAGTCAATTGATCATATTCTAGGATTCCATATTATATAATATATGTGAAGAGAAGAAATTGCATATTAAATTCAGTGTTAAAGCAATTGAAATAAAAATCTTTAGTAAAAACCATAATAGTTGCGCAGAGACAAATTCTTATCGTATATTATATAAAATAATTATTTGATACATATAAGAATAAATCAAATTATATAAATGTTAATTTTTTTTTTATATAGGAAATATAAAGTATAATTATAATAAATTGTTTCATTTCGATATTAAAAGCCATTTTACCAAAAAAAGAGATTGTTAAAATATATAACACTTAAATTATTTATGGTAATTCTTTTTTTTTTTGAACATATTCAAGTTTATAATAAAAAAAATAAATAATAGTAAGAATCACCTAAAAGTTTTGGTTTAAAAAGATAGGTATAATATTAAGTTAAACTGACAGTTAATTTCAAAAATTTCTGAGAAATAGAGTTACAAAATTAATAATATCCTAAAATTTCTTATATATATATATATATCCTTTATCTTGAAAGAATAATTTAAGTAACAATTAATTTTATTATCCAGCAACAATTTAATTTCATTTTAATGCATGCCATATAGTAGTGAGTGTTGTTAAACGGCTCGATTTGAGCCTATTTTTAAAAAGGTCTAACTCAATATTCTAGCCATAAAAGTATAGCCTAAGCCTCGAGATTTCGCTAATAGATGTCCAAACCCTAATGCTATCTATGAGAAGAATCTTAAGGCTTGCTTAATTTATATCTGGATAAAATATTAAGTTAGTCGCTAACACTACTATATAGTATACCACCGATTATCTAATATACTTATAAATCAATAGAAAGTGTTCTAATAAAAAGCCAACATATATACTTCATTAATATTTTTTATTTTTTTTTTATTTTTAAAAAAAATACTAATTAATTATTTTTGTTAAAATTTAGTTTAGAAATGTGTTAATATATAATTATTTGACAACTAGAACTAAGTTTAATAAAATAATTTATTATATCATGATAAATTATGATTTATATAATGTTCAAAACTTTCGAAAAGTTTGAAATCTAACCTTTATAGTAAACAAAATAAAAATCAGGTTAAAAAATGTATATTCTTTTTTATTTTTTTACTAAATGTTCTACGGCGGCTAATATCTGCGAAAATAGCTTTTTCGCTGTAGATTCGCCCAGTCTACCTTCCCTATTAATTTTAGTGTACAATTCACCCCCGGAAGCATATTCCATTATTATGTTGATTTTTGTTAAACTGTCTATGACTTCGTAAATACGTATGATGTTTGGGTGATGTAGCAGTTCCATTATGAATACTTCCCTCGATAAAAGTTTTCGCGTCTTTTGGTCTAACTTTGTTTTGTCCAAGATTTTTATGGCCACTTTTTCTTTTATAATTTATAATAGGTATAATATAATTTGATATTGTGGGGAGTTAATCGCAAAATAATATTTTTGGTAGTAGCACAAAATTACTCCGTTCGGATTTAAAAAATACTGCTAGGATAAAAATATCTACGGACAAGAATGCTCAATTTTAATAAAAATTTTACAGGCTTAGAAAAAAAAGGAGAAAATTTTAATTAAATTAATAATTTCTTGCGTGTTCATTTTAGGATAATAAAAAAAAAAATTAAGTTTATAATATTTGATTACGATTTCTAAGGTATTTAAAATTTGTAAAACATTTAATATTAACAAAATTAGACAAAGAAAATGTTTTGACTTATATATAGTGATTTTTGTACAAGCCAAAAATATCTCAATTTTAAATTTAAAAAAATTTTAAATTGCTTTGAAAAAGATTAATGAAAAGAAAATATCGCTTTAATATTTTGGTAAATTATTAATGGGGTATACATTACAATGCACAGTTTTTAAACCGCTTTTATTAGATACCTACTGGGAGAAGTGAGTTAGAAAAAAAATAAATTGTTCCCAATTAGTGTTGTTAAACGGGAATTTTATCCGATTTTTTAAAACGGCTAACTCAATATTTTATCTAGAAGAAAATTGTCCGAATTTCGAGATTTCGATAATAGATGTCCAAATTTTTGACATCTCTGACCAAAATCTTCAGGCTTGTGTAATATTTATCTGAACACAAATCGGCTTAAATGGAGCCGCTAAACAACACTATTCCTCCTAACTGACACTTAATGACTAAACTACAAAACAAATAATTTCTAGATGATTTTTATAAAATTTTAGAATATAATAACCATTTTAAAAGAAAAATTGATCATTTTAATTTTTTTAAAAAAACTGCATATTTTAGTTAAAAACTGTTTATTATAATTTAAAACTTGCTTGTTTTAATTTATTAATAAATTTATAAATATGTACAAAAAAAAACAACATTTTTTTTTCTTCTTCCAATGACAACTGTGGGTTAAAGGGTTTAGAGATATGGATAATATCAGGTGATTATAAGTTCGGTAGTTTGATTTCCGGCCGGAACCATTTTTGATGAAACTTACCTACTCGAGCACCAGGTATCTAAAAGTTAAGGAGATGGTAGAAAGGTTAGAAAGATATAGGTTAGGTGGTCTAAAAAATTATTCATCAAAATTTATTAGTACTAAGGTTGAGTCTTGATTCTCCCTCCAAAAAAAATTATCTTCCATTTTTTATTTTGAAAAAAATAAGATTTCTAGCGGGAGATTAAGGCTACAAGGGGTTAGTCAATTTGAACGGAAATATTTTTTCGGGTTCGGTCGAATTTGGATATTAAAATTTATTTCGGCCCGAAAGGGAACTGGACCTCGACATAATAAATTATTTTGTTTTCTTTGTTGGTATAATGAATATTATTGTCAAGAATAATCACAAAAAAAGGTTGATTTTCCTTGGGGCGTTTATAATTTTTGTAATTTCGTAAGAAATATCGTGCCATTTCAACAGTGCAATAAAAAAAAATATTCTCGGACTATCTTAATTCAGAAAGTGCAAAAAAAATTATTTTATATAAATATTTAAGTTTAAATTATATCCTCTTATAAAAAAAATATAGATGTTTTAAATAAGATTTAAATTATATAGAGACTGATTCTAAGTCAACATTACAATAAACTAATGAAGATCAACAAGGTATCTATCCACATGTGTGCTTTAAACTGAGAATCAGTTTAACTGTTTAAATTTAGAGCAAGTATAAAGGGAAGTAAATTTAATGTTATGAGCCGGGCTAACTCAATACTTTAGCTAGAAAAATATTGCCTAAACCTCAAAATTTCACTGATATATATCTAATCTTTGTGCTTGCTATGAGCAAAATCTTCAGCTTTCTTAAAATATTTCTAGATAAAATATTTAATTAGACCATTTTTAAAAATCGGCTCAAAACGAGCCGTTTAACACTACACCTGAGAGTTAAATTAAAATCTTTCTATAATTTTAATCAAAAACGATTTTTACAATCTTTCCAAATTTCCTAAAATAATTAGTTTATTTTTTTTTAAAATTATCTTTCTTTTTTCATAAGAGAATTAAAAAATTAGATGTATAACATTGAGCTAAGTTTTGAAACTTTGAAGAAAAAAAACAAAAAATCCAATTATAATATTTAATTAATATAATAAAATAATTTTTCGAAAACCAAAGTATGGAAAAGGCTAATTTATTTAAATTTAAAAAATAAAATAATAACTATAACCTAACTCGGGAAGAGCAATTATATATCATTAAATAATCAATAACTAAAAAGTTTTAAAATATTAAGGTCTTAGTATAAGTATTATAAAACAGAAGTATTACATTACATATTACCATTTAGATTTATAGTATAATCTAAATTTTTTGATATATAAAACCGATATTATATAATTTTTAATTTTTAAGTATTTTGGTATAAGCATTCCAGGAATTTAACAAATTTAATTATTCTTTATTGAATATCCGTTTTTTTTGTTATAGGTCTAAGCCGAAGTCGTATTCAACTATGTATAGAGTATCCTATCTTGCTAAATTCTAACAATTTTATTATAAATTATCGTTTATTTTTATTAAAAAAAATGGTATGAAAAGATCTTACACATGAAAATTAATGATAATTAAGGGTGGTTCAAAAGAGTTCGCCTTGAAATTGTTTGATATTCGCAAGATTGTTACTTATATGAATTAGAGGTCTGCACAGGATGTCCAAAGCCCGACCCGGCCCCAGCCTCGTGCTCTGATTAGGTTTTGAAAATTATTTTAGGGATTTAGGTTCGGGTTGTAAGATGTGTCCGACCCAAAGCCTGACCCGATCCGAAAAATAAATATTAAAAATACAAGTATCCTTAATAATTACAATACTAATATCTTTTTTTTTCCATAAAAATTATCTAAAATAAACTGACATCGATGTGTCTTTCTATTATTTTTATTTTTTTAGAAGTTTTTTTCTCTATATAAGCGATTATTTTATCTTTTTTTTCTACATCAATCATGCAAATTATTTATATAATATTATTTTATTTGGGTCATAGGTTACCTTATTTGGATAGTAGCTGATTGTGTATACAAATTAAATAAAATGCAACTTTATAACAACATTGATTAGATTATGGAGGAGGGGCTTAAATGATACTTTACCCCCATCGTAGCTACATCATCCTGCTCCTTTGGGCAAACCGCTTTAAATTTTATAGAAACTGGAAATTTATAAGGAAAAAACATGTGTCTCACCTTTTTATGAACTTAAGCCAAATATTGCTAATAAATTGGTCTAATTATTTAATGTTCAAACATTATTGACCTGAATCATTCAAATTAGCATTCTTCTTTTGTAATCTTTTTTTTATACAGTTTATTTTATTTAAATTTAATACATGTTCTATTTTTATTTAGATTATTTATTTAAATAAAAAATGATTATTACTTAAACTCAAATTATAAATTTTTTTTTAGTCGAGCTCGGGTTGTGAAAAAAAATACTTTTCAGACCTCTAAATGTAATACCATTCCGGTATAATAAGGCCATTTAAAAGCGCTCCATAAAAACGTAATAAAGATTACCTAGAAACCCAGATTTGCGAAACCGCTATAACATATTATACAAATTGGCAAAAGCAAATTATATAATGTTAATATTTTTTTTCAGATTTATAACTTTATAAAAAAATAAGCTTTCACCTTTTACCTTGCAACAATATGATTCAGCTTAGTTTCGAGATCGAGGGGAGGGTCTCATAAATTCCCAGCTAATAACAAGTGCTTATCTGAAATTTCCCTTATTCCTTGAAAATGTGCAGATTTTTACCAAAACCTCATATGTGTGGGCCATTGGCGTACGCAGCGGGGGGGGCAGGGGGACAAATCCCCCCCCCCCCCCCCCCAAAGCCAAAAAATGCAGATGCCGGATAAATTTTTCAAAAATATTATTGTTTATATTAAGTTGTATTTTAAAATATTTAATCCATTCTCTTTCGTTTTAAATATATTTAATTACATTTATTTATCACATTCATTTACTAAGTTATTTTATCAATTAATTTCGATTTCAAGTTTTTCTTGGCGTAATATTTGTCTATTTTTTAGTCAAATAATAATTATTGACATAAGAAATTTTTTAAACATACTGATGATGATGAAAATCCTAGTCATCTTACAAAAAAAGCAAAAAAGTACAAATAATTATAACATTTCATAATTAGCCTAGAGGTAAAACATAAGCTTCTTAAAAAGGTAATAAAGATACCTAAGATTAATATTTTATTTAATAATAGATTTATATTCTACCCCTCAAATTTCATACAAACTTTATGTGCTATTTGAAAGTTAAAATTTCAAAACAGCTATATTACTAGATGGTTGTGGCTAGAATTCTCTACCGAGACAATGGAGCTTATTGCAAGTTATGAGTCCTGTTAGTTAAGTCAACAAGTACAAAGATGCTGGATAAATCTTTGACAATAAAACAAATTTACCACAAACGCGGTGAACCCATTATTTCTTCAAATTAATTGTGGGGATATGATTCCCATTTTATCACATATTGACAAAAATAGGATTAAAATAGCAAAAGAAAATAGAGATCAAGCTAACTATTGAGGCCATACTATATTGTGGATTGCAGGGCCCAGAATTACATGGTCATTGGATTCAGGAAGCTTGAATTTCAATAATAATTTTAATAAATTTCAAGCATTAGGAGATTCTGTAAACAGAATTATTTCTGAAACTCCTTGTCCAACAAGGAGAAAGACATTGCAAAAAGCTTGTCCAACGAGATGGAGTCTTTGCCATCAAAACAGCTTCTATAGAGTTAGAAGAGTTGATTATTATACTCTTACTGAAAAATCACACCTGAAGGAGATATATCCTCAGAAACAAGCATATCATTGGTTTCAATACTTACTTTTTTTTTCTCATTAGAATATATATTATGTATTTTTAAAAACAAAAC